TTTTTTACAATTTGGTTTTTTTTGTCTAGGCACCTGGGCTGTTTTTGACGATAAGTAAAGATCTATTAAAACCAAGAAAGAAGACAACTCGTCCTTCTGGCAGCAGAACCAGTGCTTAAACTACTCGTAGGAGTCTTCGAGGCGGAATGCTAAATGATCACGACGGATGGTCCTACGGATGTCCCAAAATATATAGCGCTCGTTACAACTCTTGAAGTTTGTACTACTAGTACCCACCCAACAAACAGCAGCCATCATCTCTTTGTATCCCCCTGACCTTGGACACACCACTTAACATGCTCGAAAACCCTCCAATAAACATCATCCGCCGCATTCTTCCCCATAACCGGATCCAAATGACCATATCCCTCAACCAAGAATCGACGATACAGATGCTCCCCGAACCGACGTCTCAGCATCTCATAGTCGCGTAGAGTCGACTCGGGCCTAAACACCTCATTGACTGCGCCTGACATGAACAGAATCGGAATACCCTGCAGATTACTCAGATTCCGATCCGTGAGAAGCGGACGAAGCTCATTATCCAAGCACGCTCCATGTGTCCCCATACGGGTAACATGCTCGAGGAGCTTAGTATGCGTATCTGCGAAGAACTCGCCAACATTGTCATGTATGTTAGCGTCGAGATTATTGTGGTTCCAGCATAACCCGAATGCAAACGTGGTTCGATGACAATGTGCCGAGGTGCAAATGTCTCGGCGGTTTTCAACGGGGTAAAACCGGAGGAGAATGTCGAGGACTTTATGAATGAGTTTGTTGCCATCAGGCGAGCCAATTGGGTAGTGTGTTCCTGAGATGAACTCGTATAGCCGAATTAGGGCTGGAGTGGCGGCTTTTAGTGAGTTCCAGTAGGCTAGGACCTGCGTCATGAATACGGCGTTGGCTGTGATACCGAGTATGTGTGTGCGGTTGATGGTGCCGTCCAACAGGCCCATCGCCAGTGCTACGGAGCCTTGGCAATGGGCTACCACGTATGGTTTCTGCCCCTGCTGGCCTAGAATGTGTTGCAGTGCTGCCGCAATGTCGAGGCGGCAGTCGTAAACGGTGCACTGCGCTGACGTTGTAGAGTCGCTGCCCCAGCGAGGAGTCAAGACGTAGCACCGACACCCGCGTGCTGTGAAATACTCGACCATGTTGCACCGCAAATATGGAAGCGCAAAGGTGCTATGTGCAGCCTTACCGGTGACTCCTGGGATAAACAATACTGGCTGAGGGCCAGTAACTTGGCTTCTGATAGCCTCGTCTGTGCTTGGCAACGGCTCGTACTCTTCTAAACGCACGGTGACTCCATCACTTGTCCTAAGTAAAGCTGTAGTCGAGGGTCCCTGTTTTTGGGTAGGTTGATAGTGAGAGGAGCGGCGAAGTTCCCGTGCCGGCGCAAAAGGTCGGAGGAAGACCACAGCAAGCTGAAAAGTAAAGTAGGCCAGGAAAATGACCAATGCAGAATTTAATTGGACTCTGAAAGCTTCCGTTGGCCGGAATGTTTTCATCTGTCGCAGGAAAGAGGGCCACGATATGCGGAGGACACCTGCTCCTACCTTCAACCCATCATCTCGAGTGATATGAATATTGACCTTAGTGGTCGCCTCCCACATTCCGCGAATGGAGAACGCGGCGGCTGAATCAATTAATTTGTATCCTTCGAGCTTATACTCAATGTTTTCCAATGAAAGAAGCTGAAGTGAGTATGTCAAAGTCGTTGATTCTGCTTGCTCCTTTGACTGAACGAAAAACCGAACCTTGCCATCGATCACTCTCATCGGACCTCTGGATAGTCCACGGCAGGCCACTGTTCCAGTACATATGGCTTCATACTGTAATCCAAACGTATCTAAAGTTGTGAGAGCCTCGCCATGCACAACATATGGAGACTCACCTATCCTTCGGCAAATCTCGACGGTAAGAAACATGCGCATGGTGCAGGACGAACCGCGACCTAGTGTTTCGCATGCGTCAAAGCCTACATCACTTGATTGCATATATATGTGCCCATCGAGGACCTCGGAGAACTGCCATCCAATTGGCGATAGTGGCTTATTTGAGTTAGTTGTGTCCTGAGGTCCATGGCCCACCCTCTTTGATACCATCGGCTGCGAAGAAGCGTCAAGTCTCCCGTTGGGAGTGTGAGTATCAATGGAGAACTGTCGCCTCTTGGAGATCAAATCAACGGATCGCTCGGCAAGCGCAGTTATTGTCGCCATAGGATTTACACCTTAGATGTTAGAAGATGCAACGAAGCTGTGTGGCTCAGTACCTACCTAATGCAGTTGGGACAATAGAAGCATCGCAGCACACAAGGCCTTCATGTTTCGCACTCCCATGACCTATGTACACCTGGCCTAGATGGTCAGTGACACCCCCACGACCTGTGCCGTCGCTACTCATATTGGCACCTCCGAGCGGATGGACAGTGACTTCTTCCTGTTCACGGCCTGAGATATACCTTAGTATGCTAAAGTGACGAGGAAGGGAAACGTACCACGCAGAAGTGAAGATCCTATTTTCCCTCCTGCCCGGCTAATGACATAACTCAGAGCGTATCGGATGTTAGAAAAGTTTTCAGACCGTCCCTCTCCGGGTCCGCGCAGAATTGGTCGATCATCTTGCAGGGTGAGTGTGAGTTCGTTACTGTCGTGTGACATGACAAGATAGGTTGACGTGCGTTGCATAGCTCCTCCCAATTTAAACGTTTTGGCAGAAAGCTTCCTGAGCATCTTCCAAATCCGAGACATGCTACCAGGTTCTGACCTGGATGCCGGGAAACGAAAGGTCTGCAGCACAAGCATGGCTTGGATCAACGGGCTCAAAGATTTTGGTATGCATCCATCTTCGAAAACATAGCCGGCCAGGGCATCCCCTGAGCATACCCCTCTTCGATCCACAACGCCGGTGACTGTTGGACCTGGTCGACTCGCAGGGCCTGATGCTGCCCCCGAGATGCCGTTCACCTTAGAGTCGCCGTTGTAACCTGAGCTTTGCCCTTAGTTATAATCTATCTCCATATCAACCAGACTTACCAAAGAACAACATGTCCCCATTTCCTGACATATTCCTTCCCACCATTGGCGAGATTGGCAGACCGAAGTTTTTTGAGCGAAGCAGAATCTCTGTCGTTCCCAATGCGCCGGCCCCAAGGAAACACAACTCGTTCTAGCCAAAAAACACCCTATAAGCCTAGGCTGATAAGTACTGGTGGCGAAACCTACAGCTTTGACCCAAAACAATTGGGCGTTAACATCTTCCCCAAACGACGACATCCCACTCCCATGCCAGGCAAAGTACACCACGTAACCCTCCTGGTTTGGGGCATGCTCTATATACCGTACCTCGCAGCCGCAGAAGATCTCAGCGCCCCAGTTCCAGGCATCCGTAAGGTAAGTCGTAGAAACCGTGTTTTTGGATCCATCGTTCAGGCCGGTACTTTCATTACCCGATCCTTGATTCTCCTGCATCATCACGCCGACATGGTTGCGCTCCCGACGAAAGAATGTTGTCAGGGGCGTGCGGTAGAAACTTACTACCTTGCCTAGCCACTCAGCTTGCTTCTGAATGGCTTCAAGTTTCAGAAGACGCGGATGGCCTTCCGGATAAGGTGAAGGCTGCAGCATCTCTGCCGCGCGCGAGTAGTCTGTTCCAAAAACATTAAGAATGGCGGTCCTCTGCTACGATTCGATAGAAACTCACACGGCCGGAGCGCAGAATTATCGTTCCTTATCTCTGAGGGCCATACGCTCATATGCAGGGTTTGTTGATCGGCCTCGAGGAAGACTCCCGCGTTAATAAGTGAACAGCCGCCTAGTGCTGTGCAGGTAGATTGAGAGATGTTAGCACTGCGTGGTCCTCACCCCCCCGAAGTCGGATTTAATATTCCTTTGCTTGATACTGGCTAGACATACCGCGAGCAGTGAGAGCGTGCTGTCCATCCCCCAGGATCAATTGAAACAGGCGAGTAGGTTTGTCTGGCAGTCGCCATCGGGAGATACCCGAAATGTTGATCTCTCTCAGGCATTGGAAAAGGGAACGAGGGAACGAGCCCGCTGCATCATAACTGTCTGTCACTGCGCCCTGGGCTCGGAAATGAGGGTTTACGAACGCCGTCTCTCCCAACCCAACTCGAGGACTGCCACGCTCTTCCCAGCTCGAGCCATCCGACTCGCCGCAACACCAGCTCCATACCCAGACCCGACAACGACAACATCATATTCGGTTTTCATTGACCGGAAGGGATGTGTGAGGTAGGGGTAATCATCCGGTCGAGACCCCTCTGTGGTAGTCATGGTCAGAAAACGATGGCTGTATGGAAAGAAGTTGCTCGCAAGAGGGACGAGATTTCACAAAACGGAGATATTCTAAGGCCCGTCTCGCCGTTGACTCATTCTTAAGCGATAGATAATCCTCTGTGGTTTGCCTTTGGCTTTCGTCACACACCATACTGCAGCCTAATCAACGCAAACTGTCGAGGCACCCGGACTAGTAGGAAATACGACGGCGTGGCGCAGAAAGTGTAGCAGGGATTGGCTGCATCCCGAGCGCAGTTGCAGGTGGCTGAGGTGGGATTCCAAGCAGCAGTGTGAGCTTACAATGGGTTTAATCGGGTGTATGTGTGATTGTTTGCCAGATTCCGATTGTCTCCTGGCCTTTGTCTTCCCGATGGATTGTGAACAAACCACCGAGAGACGGTTTGCATAGATGACGCGGACCCTCGACTAGAGATAGATGACCCCTTACAAACCGCAGCTACTAGGGTAAACAGGAGACCGAGTAAAGGGCTTCTATAGCCGGTAATTGCTTAGACGGCCCCGAAAGTTTCGCGGGACGAGCAAGCCAGTGACAAAGCTTCAGTTCAATTTGGTGGGTAAGATTATGATTTGAACCTACTTACTGTATGGAGGCTTTGACCTTCTGTCAGATTGAAGATAAGCACCCGGACCTGGTAAGCAGCCCGGCTACGTGGCTGATTGGGCCAACGCAGATCGATACTTGAACTTATATACGAGGATCCACAAGAGAACGAGTCAGTGAGGACAGTGATAGTCTGGCCCGCTTACCCTATTCAACCATGCCTTAGCTTCTTCGGTTCAGCTTCTCTATATGCCATTGTAGTCGTCATCTGCGATATCCGAGGAATATACAGTCGTGGCTGACATGATCGCCGGTTAGAACCAGAGCGGAGAGTACCGGACATGGAATACTACAATTCAAATAATAAGTTAAACTTCACTGCTAATCTCGACTCTATCTTATGTCAATTCTACTACTCGCATCGTTCTGTTTGAAACGCTGACAATGCAACGCTCACGAGGTATATTCTCTCTAGTTGGTGCATCTGCGGTGGATCGCCTGGACTAGCCACGCCACTGTTTGAACCCGTCAAACTCGAGGCAGCCTGAATTCAAGCAGACCATCATACTGAGTACCAGTACCAGCAGTGATCATCTACGCTACAACTTCTCGAACGTCGGCTTTCTCTTCTGGATGCCCGACAGCAGCGCGGCAGTGACATCCTTCGTCTGTAGCATTGCGCTGTTCCAGACAGCCGTATACCGCAGTCCTATAGCGTGAAATACAGCATTAGCATCCACATACATCTGGACTCCAAAAAGTTGTGGAGTAGTACTTACCCTCCGGAACGGTATGATCCCTCGAATAATTCAGCAATTCCTTGGTCCCCTGCACCGCAACAGGACTCTTGGTGCCTATTAACTGTGCCAGTTCCAATGCGCCCCGGACTGTCTCCTCTTTATTCTTGAACACGCGATTGACGTATCCCACGCGTAGAGCTTCTTCCGCGTCAAAGTTCCTCGCCGTCAAAGCCACCTCTTTCACCCATCCATAATTCCCAACCACCTTGGGCAACCGACTCAATGTCCCCACATCTGCTGCCAGACCAATGTCTACTTCTTTCACGGCAAAGCGGACATCCGCCGAGCATACCCGCACATCAGCGGCCACACCGATGTCAACAGCGAGACCATAGGAGATACCGTGGTAGGCCACGATCACCGGTTTCTCGCATTTTTCAATAGACGAGATGCATCCCTGCAACTCGTCAATGTGGCGCCGCATTTGGGCAGCTTTGCGGGCGGGATCGCTGGCGGCGTTGGTGTCGGAGAGGAGGCCCTCGGAGGCGGCTTTGACGTCGAGGCCGGCGGTGAATGCGCGGTCGCCGGCACCGGAGAGGACGATGGCACGAACGGAGGAGTCCGAGGAGAGGCGGGTGAAGATGGCAGAGAGTTCCAGCCACATGCTGGAGGATTGATTACATATTAGTTTTGGGCAGAATACAGGGGGAGGGGGATGGTACCTTTCGAAGAAGGCATTCAGTTTGTCGGCGCGGTTGATCTCCACGTGGGCGACATATTGACGTTCCGGCGGGAATGTGACGTTGAAATGTTGGTATGTGTAGTCAGACATGATGATGTGCGAGTCTATGCTAGATAAAGTGTCAAGACGTGAAGTAGGTCGAATACGTTGGACAAACAAAACCTCCGGAGATTAAGTATTATGTTGGAATGGAGAGTACCGAGGAAGGGGGAAGGGGGAGAGAGAGCTGCATCATAATGTAATCCGGGGAATGACTGCATTGATGCGATGCCGAGGTCCAACTTTTAGTTCAAATGCCTGACGGGCGGAGAGCCAGAAAGTTAATTTAGTGGCCGGAGTGGTCCCACCACGTGAAGGATAACCACTTTCACTTCATCCAGCAGATATCCAACTAATCTCTCATTTCAAAACCCCAACAATGTAATGTTGCACAACTCTTGAATAGGAGACTTGGTTACGCTGAGATTCTTGGATATCTCACACTGACCACCATCCTCGTCTACTCCCCACCAAATGACTTTCTAGAGTTGTGTACTTTCCGAATACATATTTGGCTATGAAACAAATCAAGACACCTGGGCGCAAACAGGGGTGGGGCACTTGGTTTCCCAATAGTTGATAGAGGATACGGAAGAGGAGAGTTGTAGGTCGTATACGAACCCCCCTCCCCCCTTAATCATCCATCACGTAGATACACCGTCATGCCCTCGGTTCATCAAAGTTTATTGCACTATAACATACGAAGGAGGCAGCAGGGACCCAGGACGATTGTCTGCTCGAAGACCACATCGCCAGATGCAATAAGTAGCCTGAAATCCTGAGTCACTCCTCCCCTCATCCAACATGGTCGCTGATACTGTGTCGAAACTTGCGGTCCTCATCGACGCAGACAATGCGCGTTATTCCAACATGCATTGCCTGCTCGCCGAAATTGCAAAATACGGGACCGCTCACACAAAGCGAGCATATGGCGACTGGAGCAGTCCCAATCTCACAAGATGGAAGGACCAGCTTCTTGAGCATTCGATTGAACCCATACAACAGTTTGCGTATACCTACGGCAAAAATTCCACTGACTCAGCCATGATCATTGACGCGATGGATCTCTTGTACACCAGGCGCTATGATGGCTTTTGCCTGGTCTCCAGCGACAGTGACTTTACGAGACTAGCCGCTCGTATCCGCGAGTCAGGACTTGTAGTCTATGGATTTGGCGAGCAAAAGACGCCGAAGCCCTTCGTTGCTGCCTGTGATAAATTCATCTATACTGAAAACCTCGTGCACCTGGATAAGCTTGAGCCGCATGCCACTACCATCCGCGCTCCCGAACATCCTCTGCCGGTCAAAAAAGTACCGAATGAAGAACAATGGGTAACTCAGCTACGAACATCGGTAGAAGCAGCCTCCGATAACGACGGATGGGCTCGGCTCTCCCAAGTTGGCTCTCAGCTGATCAAAAATTATCCAGACTTCGACTTCCACGGATACGACAAGCTCAGTGATCTGATTGCTGCCTCTCCTTTATTTGAAACCAGCCACCGGACCCATCCGCACAATTCGTCTACCGAAATTTATGTCCGCGACATGCGCCGGAAGTCTAAGTAATGTGCTGACTGGGGATATCGACTAATATTCACATCCACCAGGGATTAGTCCCCATTGAAGCGGCTCTAGTAATGATTGCAAGCTTGAAAAAAAAGTTTGGTGTGCTGCAAAACTCATTATTCACATCAACCTTTGCAACGTCAATTGATCTGCAAGCACTCCGTCGCATTCAGCAGCTATACAAGCCACCGCGTCGCCTGGGTTATGAATTGCAGAGCAGACATCGCTTCTGCCGCAACAATTATCGGGTGTCCGCGTGGCTTAGGCTCTAGCTTTCTGCCTGCCTGACTGTCATGGATTACCTGAAAAGGACCAGTTTGGTAAAAGATGCTAAAAGTGAAATGAAAGTCAAGGTATGCTGGGTTGGCTATCAAGCCACTGACCAAAGTTGATAATCCGATAAAAAAGAAACCCCACCTTCGAAATTGATCAGCCTGCGATACGTTCTGTCTGTATAGTATGTGTCATTTGGGTAGGCTAGTTGTCAAATCAAATATTCTCTTCTTCCGCTCCAAGGTATGAAGCTATCGAATTCTTCTATGCAGGGGAAAGAGCTCTATTGAAAGTCGGGAAGTACATTGATCCCTTTAGGTAGTTATAGAACTGGGTCAAATATCTATCAAGAGTGATGGCGTATAGCGTAAAATACAATGCAAGGAGGTAAACAGATAGCTTTACCGAATCATCGCTAGGCGCTATGTTTTGTGCCACCACATCACAGGACTGTCCATGTACTGAGCAATGAAGGCATGTTGGTATTTCCGGATTTGGTGTTTCCGAGCACAAAGTATCGCAAGTACCCCTTTGCGCATCCATAAGTCTATACATTCATATGCTTGCTGGGCTACCACATATTTGCAAAACGCTCGATATGATGTTCTCGCTGCTGCTGCTGGTGGCATTTTTTTTCCTGCCACATTCCCTTTTTCGGATTTTGATCTGCATGCCGCGAAGATAGCACTGCACTGTCCAATGACGATGAGGCCGACACAGAGGAAGCGCATTGGAAATAGCGTTGTCTAAATTTCCAAAAACGCAATGGCCTCACCCTAGATATGGTACCCAGCACGATTGCCTTTATAACCGTTGACCCTGAGATAAATCAAGTCGTTTTGTCCGGTTGCACAACCATTCCGGTCCCATTCCGACCGAGTCATTCAACGGGGCTAGTAACACTCTAGTCCTAGCATCCCCATAGTGCACCAAGGATGACAACAGGACATGCGAGTCTGGAGGTTCAGAGGAAGACACCACACAACATATAAAGGTCTCTGCTTCGAACCTCGCATATATTCATGGCTACTGCAAGATGCCTTGAACCTTGCCCTTCTCACGATCGTTCATTCTACTCCTCGATTCTCGGACTGGCCACCGGTTTCCTCTACGGACAAAATGGTCCTCAGAAAGTTTAGCTCGGATGGGCTGGACAGCCTGTGTACCCGTGAACAGCTCGATCTCTTGAACGCCATAGACACGCTACGTTCCCAGGGGATCAGCCACTATGTGTCTCTGCCGCAAATAATTGTCTGCGGCGACCAGTCCTCAGGAAAGAGCTCTGTTCTTGAGGCAATATCCGGTGTCTCCTTTCCCGTTAAGAGCAATCTCTGCACACGGTTCCCAACGGAGCTCGTACTCCGGAAGGATGCCAATGTCGGAGTGAGAGTATCTATCGTACCCCATCACTCGCGTAGCGAGGCGGAACAACGGTCACTGGGGAGTTTCTGCGAAGAGCTCGACGGCTTCGATGGACTTCCGCAACTAGTCGATAACGCGAAAGCAGCGATGGGCATATCTACTCATGGGAAAGCCTTCTCGAATGATCTTCTCCGTATTGAAGTATCAGGACCAGATCGACCGCACTTGACTATTGTTGACCTACCGGGACTGATACACTCGGAGACAAAACAGCAATCAGCAGCAGATGTCCAGCTAGTGCAGAATGTGGTCCAGTCATATATGAAAGAACCGCGAAGTGTCATTCTTGCAGTGATATCGGCCAAAAATGATTACGCAAACCAAATTGTCTTACGCCTGGCAAGGGATGCTGATAAATCGGGCGATCGAACCTTGGGTGTTATCACTAAGCCCGATACATTGGCCCCGAATTCCGAAAGTGAGAAGATGTTCATTTCACTGGCAAACAACCGAGACGTTGAATTTCGGCTGGGATGGCATACGCTGAGAAACATGGATAGTGATAAAGGAAGCTGGACCCTGTCCGACCGTGATGAAAAAGAGCGCGAGTTCTTTTCCCAAGGTGCATGGGCGGAGATGCCGTCTGCATGGGTTGGAATTAACTCACTGCGAAACCGCCTTAGCAAGGTGCTTCTGCGGCAAATTGCAGCGGAGCTTCCAAGTCTTATTGATGAAATCAAGGAAAAGGAAAATGATTGCAATCAACAACTGTTCAAACTTGGTCAGCCGCGAACCACGCTAGATGAGCAAAAGTCTTATCTTCTGGGTATCAGTCAATCCTTTCAGGCCTTAATCAAAGCGGCTGTCGATGGCACGTACAATGAGCCATTCTTCGAGCGCCCCCAATCCTCTACTGGGCAACAAAAGCGTATCCGTTCTGTTATTCAAAATCTGAATGAAGAGTTTGCGGAGCGTCTAAATAGACAAGGCAACTACCGCAAGATTGTGGATAATGAGTCTCAAGATGACAGCGACAACGAGCAACTGTTGATTACAAGAAGCGAGTTTATCAATCACATCCAGGAGCTCATGAAACAAACCAGGGGTCGGGAATTGCCAGGAACGTTCAATCCTATGATTATCGGGGAGCTTTTCAAGGAGCAGTGTAGCCCCTGGAAAGATATAACATATCGGCATATCCTTGAGACCTGGGAGGCGGTTGAGGGATTTCTATCGCTTCTCACAAACTATGTTGCCGATGAAGCCACTTCTGTGATCCTTTTTGACAAGGTCATCTCGCCTGCACTCAATCAGCTCAAAGAGAGTCTGATAAAAGCATGTGAAGATCTAGTTGGGAGTCACCAGCAAGGTCATCCAATAACATATAATCACTATTTCACAGAGAACATACAGAATATCCGTGCGGATAGACGCGAAGTTGCTTTACGTCGAACAATTAAGAAGTTCTTCAAGACTGAAGACCTACGAGAGACGTATCTCGAAGGGTATCAGGATCTGGAAGGGTTGGTTCAGTCCCTTTTGTCTTTTGATGAGCCGGATATGATGCGGTTTGCATCAGCCGAAGCTTTGGATTGCATGCTGGCTTATTACAAGGTACAGTCAGCAGCCCAAACACGGCTCTTGCCTACAAATTAGCGCTAACTACTGCAGGTGGCATTGAAAAGATTCATAGATGACGTTGCAGTTGAAGTTGTGGAGGTCAAACTGGTCCAATCTCTCCCCAGTCTATTTACACCCCTCAAGGTATTCGAGATGCCATCTGAGCTAGTATCACGCATTGCCGGAGAATCTGACGAAAATCGTGCATTGCGGCAACAATTGGACAAGAAGTTGCGAATTCTCGAGAAAGGCCTAAGGACTTGCCGACAATTTGCTAGTGATCGCGGCGTGGTTGGGAATGGCATCAAAGAAACGCGTCATCTGGATGGCAGGGCAGGACAAGCGAATGCTCTTGAAACACCTCAAACAGAGGCCGAGGATGATAGCCACCCAGAAGATGCTGATTCAGTTGCTGAAGGTCTGTAACTGCGATGTAATGCGAGTGAATGTTCTAGTTGACCGCCAGATAGCATCTATTTCAATGGACCAACCCCCGGAACCTAGCGATGACTACGGCGGGCCAGCAGAAGACTCGCCGTCATTTGTGGAAGACAGCACTCTTCCGCCTGAAACTATCATCCCAGAACACAGGGTATCCGCCTCATTAGTACGCTCCAAGAAAGGCAAGAGGAAGACGAAGAAGAAGAAGATGTATTCTTAATATCATATTTCCCCATAATTTTCATACTTTATCGTACTAGGATACGAAGAGCGAATTAGCCCAATCGTGCACACAGTCCAAGCACTTTAGGAATAAAGAGGCGCTCACGCCTGACAGATTGTATGACCCAATGGGAAGAGACAGTTCTGGATATAGATGAACGGATAGCTGACGTGCCATAGAATCCAGTGCCATGTCCCGTAGTCATTAGTAGCATCAGCCTGGAACTTTCCCAATAAGATAAATACGAAGGGACAGCAGCAGGTTTGTTTCTCTGAGTTGTTGCAGCATGAATATTCCGAATTGGCGTCCAAACCGTATCGCTTACGGTTATCAGGTTGCTGCGAGAAGGATGAAATTGGAGAACTTCGATGGTTCTACCCATCACCAGCCAGGTAGTACAATCGAAGGGAGGTAATGTGTTGTTGCATAAAACAAATAAAATACCCTAACTACAGCGTCTCCTGCAAGCTAGGGCCTTGGTGTAAGGCCACAGCTCTGAATCAACTCGAACAAAACAAGTGGATATACTCTCGCAACTAGCAAAACGCCGTGAACACATAACCAAGAACAGAAAGCTAATCAGTATGTGTAGCCAGTAACAAAGTATCCGTCGATGAATTAATCAAACGGATATGCAGGCCTATGCGAAACCTACCAAACCACCAAACACCCTACACCGTTACTCCGCATATTCCATCTGCCCCCGGCCATTGTCGGTCAAACGCGCCTCCGGATCCAGCAGAATGCGGAACTCTTGATCATTCCGGTATGGCGGTGCCTCTTTAGCAGAGAAGACAGCATTGTGTGCAATGCCAAACCGGAAATGCTGCTGCGCCCGGCGCTGTCGAGCTTCAACTCGGACCCGATACGCGTCATAGGTCTCCTGGTCCAGCGTGGCGAAGAGATAGCGGGCATGAACACCCAAGGCTTGCGCTCCTTTCTGTCCGAACCCGAAAGATGTTACCGAAAAGGCCTTGACACCTGTAGTCTGTATGCTGCGACTGGGGTAGACTAAATAGTCGTTCTGCAGGGCTGCGTCGATGTTGTCTGCATTGCGGTTGCCTGGAACCAAGCCGGTGTTGAGCACTTGTAGGCCACCATTGAGCATCCACGCTCCTGCAGCACCCTTTGAGTGTCCAGTAAGATACTTCTGAAAGATTCCTAATGCAGGATTACCCTTCGTCCGACCCAGATGATGCAGCTGTTGGCTAATCATGTTCGTCTCGTTCTTCTCGTTCAACACGGTGGATGTCCCGTGGAATGAGACCACATCCAGGTCGTTGATAGTTAGGTTCCAAGTTGCTAGAGCACCGCGTAGCGGAGAAATCTCCGGGCTATTCTTCCAGAAATGATTACCAAACGTGTTCAACGCATCCTTCTCTTGGACCCGGGCTTCCCGGCGTACGTAGCGGAGGCGTTCGTTGATCTCTTCAATGCGTTCTTCCGCGTAGGGGCTAGGGCTGCGCTTGAGGTCGGTCAGTTCTGCCTCAGCAATGTCCACCTCCATGTCGACGCGTTCCTTGATGTGCTGGAGCGACATATTCAGTCTCCGACGCCGGTAAGAAATATCCAACATGGGGGACGGGGCTCGGTGTCGTGCCTCGCGTGCATTCGTTAAGAGACCCTTTCCGGGAGCAGGAACAGAACGCCCAATCTTGTCACTAGCAGTTCCGACCCATGCGACAATGCCCTGGATGGGAAGGCCCATGTCCAATGCCAGCTGGGCGGATGTGATCACCTGGATACCACTGCCTTGAGACTCGACGAATCCACCACGGGTGGAAGCAGCCGGTCGCGACATCTCGCTGGGATCACGACCCTTTTCAAACTCTGCCTCGCTACTAACCGTGGCCTTCATCTTCGCGAACTCATACGACACATCCTCGGAGAAGTCGTCGAAGCCACCAACAAGGCACATATTGGCTTTGCCGGAGACGATAGTCTCGTAGCCGGATTCGAGCGACTCGATCGAGGTGGCGCAAGCGCCGACCGGGGTACGGATAGGGCCGGTGGAGGACAGCAAGAGCATGTTAATCCATGCAGCCGTGGTGTTGATGAATGATTCCTGCAGAATGTCATTTTGAACCTGTTTCTCCACGAAGCGGTCCTTATGCAGCTTTCGGAGTGCCTTGACGCCTCCCAAGCCAGAGCCAATGCAATTGCCGATTTCCGACACATGCAAATACTGGTATATCTCGAATGGGTCACTGATTCCTGCACTCAAAAGTGCTTCCACCGTTCCAATAAGAGCATATAATGTGGCTGGATCCACTTGACTGGCGAGATCCTCGGTAAGCCCATAAGTACGGGCGTCCCAGCCGGTCGGAATCTGGCCAGCCACTGCCCGGTCGAATCGAAGGGCCTTCGGGATCATCAGGCAAGCTCCCTTGAGTAGGCGGACGGTGTACTCTTCGCCTTCGGGGATGACATCAACCTTATCGCCGTGCTCCAGTCGGAGTTGCTCTGCGGTCTCCTTGGACGTCTTAAACGGAGGCATGTCCTCGTCGAGAACCACTTCCTGCAAGAATTTCTTCTTGTAAGGATCGTAACCATCGTTGATCTCTGGCTCAATGAGTCGAATGCCGGTGTGTGCCAGGATGTGCTCTTCGAACCGCTTCTTTACATCGATATCGCGAATAGGCTCCTTGGTCGCTGCGACGATCCAACCATGGTAATGCGGATTCCCGTTGAGAGGTCCATTGTGATGCTTGATCAGACCCATGATCCAAGCCATTTCAATGCAGCCCTCCAGCGAGAACTCCCCGAATGCCTCCATCTCCCAGCGTGTCCGGGCGTTGCCGTGTGGTCCGACTTCAGAGAAACCGGTGACGACGACCACGCGGTCGAGATCAACCATTCCGCGCAACTGACCAGCGAGAGGAAGAAGCTCGGTCTGGTAGTCAGGTAGACGAGGAAACTCGAGCGCAAGCTTGGCCTTTTGTTCCCGTACCTGCGGTTCTTCTTCCGATGGCTGTCCAAGGGCAGCGCGCTCAAAGGCTTCCTCCTTTGCTAAGGCGTCTCGGATTTCACTGGTTTCCTTCTGTTTCTGCCGGATGGAATCAACCGTCTCTTTGAAATTCGGGAAGTGACCCATGCCACCACTTAGGTCTGCCTGCACTGGTGTCACCTCGCATTCGGTTGCAATTGGAGATGACATAAGGACAAGGATGTAGTAGGCCATTTCGACCTGGGAGAACGTCCTCACTCCCATCTTCTCAATATCTTCCGCAACACCATTATTGGCGCTCATGAGTCCGGTTCCGCGCGTCCAGCCGATAACAGCACCGCAGATTGAAAGATATGTACCCCATGACTCGGAGTTTCAGCGGTTGAATAGTGTTTCGAGAGCAATCTTCGACTCGGGGTACAGGCCATCCCCACCAAAGATGCCGTGGTTCGGCGACAATGGCAGGATTACCTGTGCAGGGTGACTGTCGAATCCTCGTGCCTGCTTCTGCTTCTTGATTGCCCCTAGCAACCTGATTGTGTTTGTCAGCATGATACGATGGGCCAACTCGGACTTAGAGTCAATATCCTCAATTTGCCGGCCACCTTCCGGAATGGCTGCAAATGGAACAACATGGCTCAGATCCCATCCGAGCCCTTTGTCGGATTCATAGATGTAAGACACCAGGGACTCAAGGTCTTGCTGACTCGCCTGGTTGAACGGCAGAAGAACAAGCTGCGATCCACGAGCGCCTTCTTCGGCATAAATTTGCTGATACAATCGTGTTGTCGCGAGCGAGTAGCTACTGGTCGTTACGAGTACCCGAGCACCTCCCCTCAGGAGGCCGCGGACAATTTCGGTGCCGATGGAATCCCGTCCCGCACCAATGACAAGCACCTCTGCGTCTGAGAACGAAAGACACTCGTGGTCCGTTTGGCGGAGAGTCGCCATGAAGGCTGCAGTCAAGTCCGCTCGGGTTTCCCAACCCTGGCTCCCCAGTGATGTGAGGGTAGCCGGTGGTGCGGCATCGACGGTGGCACGAGGAACCTCCATATAATGAATTCTTCCTTGGCTGTCAATGGTTGTCTTCGGTGCGTCAATCATCAACCCGTGCGCAGCCAATGGCTGAGCATCCGATAACTGCGGGTTGCATGCCAGCCGCAATTGATGGAGGACATCGCGGGCATGAACCGCTCGCGGGTTTCGAAGCTTCAGGCACTGTGTCTCCAGGTATTCTAGCATCTGCACGAGTTTTGGATTGGACTTCCGAGCAATACGGCCCATGATGGTTTCCACCTCGCGGCCAGTTAGCGTAATGGTCCCGGCCAGGATCCGGTGAAACAGGTCCACAGTGTCTTGTAGCGCCCAATTCCAAAACGAGTCGTACCTGCGGGCTTTGGCCACGGATAGCATAGGCTTGATACCCGAACCGTAAACCTCACCATGCTCCGAAATCCAGAGCTGCAGCTCGTCCTGTAGCTCTGCTATAATTTCTGCTGCTTTGTTGCTGGCCTTGTGTCCAGCCTGCAGGTCTACCCCAAGCAACTTTGCATACAACTCCAGCATGGCTTGGGCCCGGTCGTCCTGAGTCTTGGTCAGTGCCTTGACGGCAGTCTGGTCTACCACAACTGGCCCAGATGATGTGCCAGCCCCATCAGACGAAGCTCCTATAGCAGACAGATCAATCTTCGCATATTGAGCGTACTGTTGGACGATGTCGTCAAGAAAAGCATGAGCAGCGCTAGTATCTGGGAGTCTTGCAGAGGGCTGCTGCACAGCGGCGCGCAGCAGAACCGCATCCTGGCGGGTTGTCTGTATGCCATATTTGTTAAGCAGGTGAGCTCGTACTTCGCCTGACCCCAGACCCGCAGGCATTTTTGCCGACACCATTCGGTTGACAAGGGTCTGTGTGGTCTTGCCTAGGCCTTTCTTCCATGAACCTTGAGCTTCGATGGATTGAGAGAGCTCCGACAGGGGAGTATCTTCGGGGGCGTCTGGAATGGAGCCAAACTCGGCGCCGAGGTCTCCGACGATCTCATTCTCTAGGGTGGATCGGCCTATGGATTGTTAATATGAAGCCAGGTGTGATCGTGGGGATAACACGGGAAAAGTAGGAACGAGATGCTCACCTCCGACCAGCTTCTTGATGGTTTGGCTCAAGTCAATGTCTTGCAACGGCTTCTTCAGTTTGTGTGCGATCAGGGCGACGATAATGTCGAGTGCTGCTATCGGGGTGTCTTCAATGCTGGAAGGGGATTGCCGCACTGGTACTGGCTGGGGCGTGGCGGTTTCAGCTGCCTCCGGGAGTGTGATAGGGGTGGGCTGTGAGGGCTGTGCAGCGGGCGTGGATGTCTCCTTGCCTGTTTGGGTTGGTACGATCTCGGCATCGTTCAATTCATAGTATATCTCTCGTGCATTCTTCTTATGACTCCAGATCTCTCGTTGGATGGCAAGTGCAGCATCATGTACTTGGTACTTTGCTCCCAATGTCTTCTTTATCATGCCAAGCAAAGTCTCAGCAGGTCCAATCTCAACCAGCCGATCAACCTTTTGTTCCTGGAGCACGACGTCTTGTGTTTCAATCCTGTGGAATCTTAGCGACTGCACATTACGTCCTGCCTTGCCAAGCGCAAATGATCCAGGGTAACGTACCACCTGACCGGTGAAGCAAACTGGTACCTAAAGAGAAAACATCAGATGCAATGCCTCCCAACACTGAGAAGCAAACTCACGCAAGAAGTTCCGTCAACAACACGTACGCCAGCTCCCGCTGGACCCGGGGATGCATCTTCTCCTTGGGTGCCATGCTGGCTCTGTTGAGAAGCTTGATTGCTGGGAGCCAAGAGGTATTTCGAGGAAACCCAAGCACAGGATATATGTTGCACACGGGCGCTCAGGAGTCCAGCTCGACACACTGACAGGCCTTGTCCTTTGCCTGCGAGCGTGTTATCTCCCAGCGTGCTATTGCGGCTGGCTCCGATACTTTGGCCCCAACTGCAACGACAAGGCTCGGAGTTCGTCAGCATGACTCGCGCTATGGTCAGCGTCTGGGAAGGTTTGAGCTGGAAGCATCCGAGCGTTTCGGTGGATCGTAAATTCCTGAAACTGCGCGTAAATAGGGCTTAGTTTATTTCCGCCCAGGAAGAAGCTTCGTATCGGTATTTTACACCAAATTGAACGCTAGTATCAATACACAGCGTAAGTTACACTTGTATATATTACATTACGAACCGTATCTTATCATACCGATCTATATGAGCATCGTGCTGATCCTGATCCTGCAGACGAGATTGCCCAGGTGGTGGCTATGTGCCCTGATCCTTCACCACGTTTTCGAAATCAGTGGAGACATGCAGCTCGCCACGAGGAATGTGGAGCTCATCGGCGTATTTGCATGGATGAGCTCAGCTGGCTTGTGGTCCGATGATTAGCATCGTCTCATCCCAGCATGAGGGCATGTCTTCGCTCAGTCCACCTCACGAACAATAGCTTATCGAATTCCTGTTCATGGTATGATATTCGAGAAAGCCTTGTACTTTCTTTGATCAGAAAAGCATATTATCTGCGTTTGAAGGTTCTGTTTGACTTGCATATTGAGCCTTTCTTCTGAATTGAGTTCTTGCGTTCTCCCACTGTCACTGAAACCTTTCCTTGAGCCTGGCCTTTACTGGTACTATGGCCTTTGTTTCTACTTTCCAAGCCCCTTGGCAGTCAGGCATTCTCGCCGTCTTTGGGGCTGCAATTGCTTCGGTCAGTCTTCATGTCCGTATCCATGTGCGTTACTTACAAACATAGACGTTTGTGTATGCCATCTATCACCTATTCTTCCATCCACTTGCGCACTTTCCAGGACCATTCTGGGCAAAGTTTACTTGCCTCTACTCTGGCTATCATGCATGGAAGGGTGACTTGCATATTGACATGCAGCGTTGCCATGAAAAATACGGTATGCCTCTTCGTCTGATTCATTGCGCTTCTAGTCGCTAATTATTGTAGGGGACTTTGTGCGCTATGCACCGAACCAGCTCTTGATCAACACTTCTATTGGGCTTCATGGTATGCTACCCGTTGTAGTTAGCAGGAGTTAGCTAAATGGCATAAGATATCTACGGCTTCGGACGCAACACTCAGAAGTCCAAGCTGTACAGTGCCATGGTCCATCGTGCCCCGAACACCCTTACCCTCATCGACAAAAAGGCGCATGGTAGAAAGAGGCGTATCATCAGTCAGGGTCTTTCTGATGCCGCACTAAGGCGGTACCAGCCTGCTATTCTAAAGCATATCAATGAGCTCTGCGGCGCGCTGGTGGGTAGCAAGCCCAGCGAGTGGTCTGTTCCACTGAACGTCGCACACTACTGTATGCTTTCTCCTTTAATATCCAGATCCATACTAACGATCATAGTCAACTTCCTTACCTTCGACATCATGTCCGACGTCTTATTCGGCGAACACTATAACATGGTAACAAGCGAGGAACACCGCTATGTTGTCAAAGCGATCGAGGACTCTAACGTCCGGACATCCGTCCTAGCCCAAGCCCCTCTTCTTGCTTTCCGGCGCTGGGACCGTAAGATCTTCGCGGAGTCCATTCTCGCCAGGAACAAGTTCATCCAGTTCGTAAATACCCTTCTTCAGCGCAGATTCAAAGCCGCCAAGTCTGCCCGCCAGGATGTATTCACCTTTCTCTTGGATGCTAAGGATCCCGAGACTCAGCAGAGTCTGTCCCTTGCCGAGATTGGTGCTGAAACAACGACCCTCGTTGTAGCTGGTATGTATCCGTCCCCATGCCTTTCCTCAACCTTCTAACCAGCTAATCCCGACGTTTTCCAGGCTCGGACACATCCTCCACAGCCTTCTCCTCTTGCCTCTTCTACCTCTCCCACAACAAGGACTGGTACAACCGCGTAGCCACCGAAGTCCGAAACACGTTCTCCTCCCCGGACGAAATCACTCTCGGTCCCCGCCTGAGCTCCTGCATTTACCTCCGTGCTTGCATTGACGAATCCCTCCGAATGTCGCCTCCCGCCGGATCCGCTCTCTGGCGCGAAGTCGGCCCCGGCGGCGCCACCTTCGATGGCCACTTCATCCCTGCTGGCTGCGACGTCGGAACCGGCATCTATGCCATCCACCATAATGAGAACTATTACACTGAGGCTTTCAACTTCCGCCCTGAACGATGGATCCTGGCTGGGGCGGAGGGCGACACTGAGGCCGTAGGAATGGCTGATCGAGACAGTCTGGCTAAGGCGCAGGGCGCGTTTAACCCTTTCTCAATTGGTCCTAGGGGATGCATTGGAAAGGGGTTGGCGCTGGCTGAGCTTACTCTGGGTATTGCGACGATGTTGTGGAGGTATGATTTTGCCTTGGGTGAGGGGAAGGGTATGGCTCTTGGTGCGGGGAGAAAGGGATTGGGGCCTGGTAGGGAAAGGGAGAATGAGTATCAGTTGTATGATCATATTACGGCGTCGAAGGAGGGGCCCATGGTTTGTTTTAGGGAAAGGGTGTAGTTGATTGTGGGGCTTGGTGGATTATACACTTTGTTTTGCTATGATTTTGTGCATATTGTCTGCTTCATTCGAGAGAAATACATACACATGTTTCCTGTTGGTTGTTGTGATAATGGCCTGCTCGGTATACACTGTATTGGGTAAGACCGGTGTTCTGCCTGAGGCAAGAATTTCTGTGTGCAACGGCGGGTTTGACTCCCTGCGCGGTATTGCAATTGTCTCCAAGCCTAATTTCATGTTCAAGTTTCTGACGTCCTCTTATTTTCCTCTATCATGCTTCAGGGGTATAAGATTTGGTGGTACGATATAGTTTCCTACCAATCGACGGCTTTAGTATACGCTTTCATAGTAGTATGTGAATGCCTCCCACCAGCACGTCAGCTACGTACCTCAAAGTAAATCGGACACATCCAACTTCGAATCTTTAGCTGTTGATGTAAGAATAATTGTAAACGTTTCTGCACAAGTACATATTAGTTCCAGTCCTACTTTCTTTGAGTATAATCGAACAAATTACTATTAGCCCGCGAAACATGACAACCGGCAAAAAATATATAATTGATTACTAGTAACGTTGTGGCATGAACCTTCCATACAGATAAACACAACGACCCAAGACAAACTCTAATGAGCGCCATTTGCAACACCATTTGCCTTCTTACCCACAGCATACTTCTCATACACCGTCTCAGGCGCCTTGACGGCCTCCACCCACCCAGCAAACTCCTCCCCAGTTTCTCCCCGCTGAATCTTCCTCAACCGCGTCAACAACTCCAAGCACAATGGCCCACTCTCATACTCCAACTTCTCCCCAGTCGACCTCCGCGTAATCGACCGAATAGGAACCACGGCCGCGGCCGTTCCCGCCGCCATAACCTCCGTGAACTCGCCGAGAGTATCCCAAGGAACCTAAGCAGTCAGCCCACATGTCCCAACAAAACAGGAAAAGAGTGAACATACACTCCTTTTCTCCACAGCCCACCCCAAACTCCTCGCAATCCCCTGCACTGAATCACTCGTTACACTATCAATAACACACTTACTATCCGGCACCACCAGCCTAATTCCCTCCCCCTCTTTATCCCTAACAATTCCCAAAAAGCTCGACGTCGAAAACTCATCGACCTCCGTCTGCGACGCACTATCCAAGTGCAACGTGAGGGGAAACCCCTCCTTCCTCGCCATCTCCGTATACTTCATCACAGGCGCATAATTCCCGCCGACCTTCCCATGGCCCGTGCCCCGGGGCGCCGCACGATCGAACTCCTCAATGACCAGCGCATCCGCCGCCCCAGTCCCGTGGTAGGTGCCGAAGGGTTGCACGTACACGCAGAAGAGGTACTCGCGGGGCGGGGTGAGGGCAAAGTGCCCGCCTGTGCCGAAGGCGAGGGGACGGATATAAAGCGCTGCGTTTGTGGAGTGGGGTGGAACAAAGGCGGCGTTCTCGGATACAGCGAGGCGGACGGCGTCGAGAAAGAGGGTGTCCGGGATTGGAGGGATGGAGACTAGGTCGGCAGAGTGGGTCATACGAGACGCGTGCTTGTCGGGTCGGAAGAGGAGGATCTCTTCGTTGCTGTTGCGGGTGGCTTTGAGGCCTTCGTAGATTTGTTGGCCTGTTGAGGTTAGTGGTTGTTGGAAGGGGAGAGAAATGGGAGTACCATAATTGAGTCCTGGGGCGAGGCCGTGGATACGAAGGTAGGGATCTTTGACGAAGGTTGGGGCTTGCCAGGTTTGGGTTGTCGGGTCGAATTTGCATTCGACGTGGCCGTTTACTGCCTTGGTTAGCCGTGGGATAGGGTTGGGGGTGTAGATGGAATGCACCAATGTCTGTCACGGCGAGGCCAAGTTTCGACCAGTCTAGGGTTGTTAGCTATGGGCATGCTGGTTGGAATAGGTGGATGTACCAAGGTCGGCTGCTGGAGGTGCGAAGGCCATTATGGTGGTTACAGTGTGCTATGGGAAGTGTACGGAGAGTATGGTAGAAAGATGATGATGTTACAGAAGTAATGAATTGGCAAGATAAAGGGAGCTCAGAGCTACACTGCCAATGCGATATTAAGCGCGCTCAGAGTTATTAGATCCGCTACATACTCGGCCCCATGCCGAGTAAACCATATACGCGCCTCCGCGCTCGTGCACGCAGCATACTCGTGCGTTCAACAGATAAGCAATCTGATACATCATAAGCATATGCCAAGTGTATCATCCTGAGGCTGAAGCTTTCGTGTTCGGAGATTGTTGGCACTTTGGTAAAGGTGTAGTTTCGGCAGGATCGAGCTCTGCTGCAGCTGCAGCTAACCTGACTTGGTTAGGAACGCGATCTGCGATTCGAGTGGAGTAACGAGCAATATTCTCCGTTATTATTTACGTCTCGCCCGCTGATGTGAGATTAGCAGATTTCCGTATAGCAACGTGCTTAGTTGTGTTTGTTGATCTCTTGCTTGGTTGGCATTGACTTCCGCAGGATGCCGATCAGGCAACGAGGTCCCCGTATTGTATTATAAGTAGCATACTGCTATCACGTTACAAGACAAGATTACTTACAGTACATACAAAGGGACAATACACTTTGTATTACAGTCACAGATACCAGACACCACCCTAACCCAACGTCTCGCACCCCCAGCTCGTGTCAAGCCAAGCATCCACATTCCGCTGCTAGATGCATCAACCTACTTCCAACTTACGCCCAGGATCGGTGAGAGACTAAGAGACTGCCCATAGAACATCAATAATGCATCAATAACGCCACATCTCATTCAATCTATCACTGACGCTCCTCTACCCTATCCAAAATCCTCCGAAACAAACACACCACACCACCACGCTCACAGCCGAATCCCCCGCTCATCGAACCTCACCTTTTCTCCACTCCCCAACGAGTCTTGCAACGCCTTCGCGATCCTGACTGCCTCCACCGCACCCTGAATCCCCAAGGGCAGCTCTGTATCATCCAAACAAGCCGCCGTAAACTCATTCACCTCATCCACAAACGCCATCTCAAACCGCTCATAGTAATGCGCCGGCAGCTCGCGTCTGGCCCCATTTCGATCAAAGATCCCTACCAAGTTCTTCTGCGCATGACCATTCACCACTAACTTCCCCTCTGTCCCAATAATCTCCGTCGTATCTTCTTGCCCCGCCGCCATCATCCGCGAACAATACAGATACGCCACCCGGCCCCCATGGAACTCGATAATCCCCACCGCGTTATCCGCATCCCCGTAAGCCTTGAGCTCGGGATGTAGGGCCACGGTCCCACTCGCTACCACGCTCTTCACTTTGCTGTCAGCCCCGAAGAACCACAGGATCAGGTCGATGTCGTGGACGGAGCAGTCGCAGAAGATCCCGCCTGAGGTGGCGGCGAAGTTCACGAAGGCACCGGTGGGGTCGATCTTGTCGCATGTTTGGCTGCGAATGATGGCGGGCGTGCCGATAAGTCCGGAGCTCATCTTTGAGTAGGCATCTCGATAGGAAACGTCGAAGCGGCGGGAGAATCCGCACATTACTTTGAGCTCGGGGTGGAGGGTTGCTGCGTCCACGACAGATTGGCACTATGTACGTTCCTTTAGTCATGGGCGTAGATGTGACGACACTTATTGATCAGAGAGTTGAACATACGATAGCAGCATCAGTTGAGAGAGGCTTCTCGCACAAGACATGCTTTCCTGCTTCAATGGCTTTGATAGCTTGTTCTGCGTGCACGGTGGTAATGGTTGATACGAGCACCGCTTCAAGGCCGCTGTGGCCTAGCATAGCATCGTAGTCCGAGTAGATGGTCACTCCGTAGGGAACCAGGTTGGCCTCAGCCCATTTGGCCTCAACAGGATCTGGGGTGAAAGCTGCCACCAGAGATGACCGCGGGGATCGGTGCAGGAGGTTCAGGGCGTGACGCTTGCCCATGCGGCCAAGGCCGGCACAGGCGACCTGGAGGGTACGAGGAGCCATTGCTGCAGTGGGGATATGTGTGACTGAAGTGTCTGATGTTGAGGTTGAAAGACGGGTGGACAGAGAGGGTAATATTTATATCGAGTGTGTTCAGCTTCAGTCTAGCTCGAATTGAGATCGACGCTGTTGAGGCCTGGAGCGACGGATCTGACCCGCCTCGGTTATGGAAAGAGGATCAATGGATATACGCAGTCTGTTGGGATATCGAGGGTATTCTTTGGTGTTCTAAGCATGTATAGGTCAGCTCGGGATATATTGTACTTCGTGTTTGAGATCATGCCTCGGTTATGATCCCTGCGACGGACAACGGAACAGCAGATCAGGCCCACATAGTCGGCCAGCTCATCCGGGATGCAGCATACAAATTCTTCGATAAAGAGGGTATGCCCCCACCAGAAGAGAGCTCCATCATTTGTTTCAAATTCCGGGTGAGCATTCATCGAGCTTACTGTTTACTTACAAGAGACCTCATTCGTGGTCCGTGCTGTGGAACCATGGATGCGTCAATTGCTGGGCTCTCGCTCTGCCATTCCATTGAGTTGTTTGGGCGCTGCTATTTGCGTAGAAGCATGTCACCAAGTTTTCATCTACATGGACTAATGCATCCACAGAACCAGAAGGCTACCTCCAACGGACTGACCATCCCAACGGATCAAAACAGAGCGACGCAACATTGACAGTGGGCCGCAGCAAAGTATCATCAAGATAGTCCACGTACTGTAGGGCCCACTTGTAGAAAAGTAGTATTGCTGAGGAGAAAAAATAGGTGATACGGGATGCATTTAGGGGTTCGAGGAGGGTGACACGGGCAGGGTCGTATGCTGGATCGACTTGGCATACAGTGGTTGGGCAGAAGAGTGCTCCTGATGCTTAGGCATTGGGTGGCTTTGGTACAGATTATTTGGGACACCTAGGCTGAATGAATTAGTGATCTTTATATGGTCTCTATTTGACGGCATGGTTCTGATAATAGTGGAATTTAAATGTAATTTTAGCTAGTGTTTTTTTTCCCCGACAAAGGCATGCCTTCAAAAGAGCGCAGCAGTAGCAAGTGAAGAGAGCGCGAACAATCAAGAACTATCTCTGGGTACAGGTTTCAAGTAGACCTTCAGCGGGCGTTTCTGCCACATCAGGAAGTTCTTCTGCTGGATCCAGTCATCGCAGTCCTCTGAGATGACCATGTCGAAGTTAAATATGATCAAGGCGAGAATGAGACGCATCTCGCTGTATGCGAGACTAAAATACAATTAGTTAAGATGAGGAACGAGAAGAGGTTTGATTCAGAACTTACTTTCTCCCCAGGCAGTTCCTCGGACCCACATGGAATGGTTGAAGGACGTCACGGCGATCATTCGCGAACTGGGGGCTGCCCATGAAACGCTCTGGATGGTATGATTCGGGGTCCGTGAAGTGCTTTTCACGATGATAGAGCGCCCACTGGTGCATTGAAACATACGTCTGCATAACATGTCAGAAAGTCACTACGCATTAGGACATCAAAACTAGACCCACATTCTCTGGTATATAGTGCCCAAGCACCGTGCAGCCTCCACGCGGGCACATGCGCGGGAGACCGTTTGCTATGGGGGGGTACATACGCAGGCCTTCATCGAGACACGCCAGCATATAGGTTAATTTGTTGACACTGATTAAGTTGATTTCATCTTGGTTGCGGAAAGTGGACCGAACTTCGTCCCTCAGATTCTGATAAGCGTCAGGGTTCTGGAGAAGGAGATATGTTACTCCACTCAACAGGGACGCTGTGGTCTCCGAGCCCCCAATAATCAGGATTTCGGCATTGGCGATGAGGTGATCCATGGTCAGGGCCTAGATGTATGGGTCAGGATGATTCTTTGGTGAGCGCGATCATTCACAGCTTACCAAATCTTCTTTTTTCTTCAGGAGACTGTTGATCAGATCCGGTCGATCTTCTATGATAGCTAATCGGCGGAGCATCTTAGTCGTGGTAAGGGCTTTATGCTTCTGCTGGGCCTCCTGGAGCGACTTCGGAACCAACAGCAATAAAAGTGATTTTAATATGGGGTAAAACGATATTGATTGAAGTATGATTCCCAGTCGTCCCGATTCAAAGATAGTTTTGATCCAATAATCGTATTTGGCATTCTCCAAACAACCAAACGCTTCGCCGAACGCAAGATCACCAATGATATCAAAGGTGGTAAAATTGTACCAGTCTGAAATGGCCACGGACTGTCCGCTTTTGCTTTGCTCACGCAGCCTCTCCAAGAGCAGATCGGTATATTTCCGAATCAAGGGCTCCTGCTCTCGCATTGCCTTCTCGGAGAAACCGTGAGCCATGGCGCGACGCAGACCTTTATGCTGATCTCGCTCTTCGTTAACAATATGTCGTGCTTCAGGTAACGGTCGGTAAAACCAATCGGCTTTGCCCAGCTCTTCCTCGCCGTTCTTGTGGCCCATGATGTCCTTCCAAGCGTTGGGGTGTGAAAACGCAAGTTCATCCGGTGCAATGCGGACAATGTCCCCATATTGATTATGAAGGTCTAACATATGAAATGGGAGCGTTCCTATGAGTGCATAGTAGCAATAGGGAAGGCGAGAAATGGCATGGGAGATCGGGCCGGGGAACCGACTCAGTGGGTGAAAGAAGACATTATAGATAATTTGAGTCGCATAATAAATAGTGACCTGTGCAGCTAAGTTAGAATGAGCGTCGCATGTGTTGTAGACCAAGGAAGGACGATTACCGCGGAAACAAGTACCGCCAACCCCGCGCTCCCGTTCAGTGGCATTAGATCGATTGTTGTGAGCATGGTAAGTAGCATCATCATCATCCGCCGGTGGATGATAGAATATGCCAGGTAGGGTCATTCCGGTCATTTATATACCAGTGGGAAGACACTTTCAATGTATGTCTCTGGGGACAAGCGCAGGCTGCCACAATCAAAGTCCAGAACAATCTTATAATAGAAATGTGGGGAGGCAAGCAAATAGATCTGCAATTAAAGTTCTTTAAGAAAATGGAAAACGAGTTCGAATGCGAACCCGAACCCGAACCCGAAACAAACCCGAAATGTGGAACCCTGAAACACATTTTGGCATCAAGATCTGCACGAGCTTGATGGTGAACAGGCCAACCATGTCGCGCCAAGAAACTGTTCCTGTAGTCAACGTAAATCTGTGGAGTTCCAGGCTTGCAGGAATATAGGGAAGGGCCAAAATTAGGCTTAATTTGAAGTTGTTACTTACAGCGGATGAGAAGGTTAATTCGACTGCCTAGATAGAAGAATAGGTATATATCTGGAGGCCAATGTGACGCTCATCTTTTCTGGCCTACATCCTTCAGGACAAAAAATTATTTCCCATCACCTCGTCCACTGTCAACATCTCCCCATCATGGCTTCTACGCAGTGCGAGCTGTATATGTATACACCCAGCCTTGCATTGGCGATTATCGGAGTCATTCTATTCTCTGCCTTGACCACGATCCACCTGTACCGTATGATTGAATCAAAAGCGTGGTTTGGCATATTCTTCGTTCTTGGTGGTCTGGGTAAGTTGTCCCTGTCATTGATGCCCTATCAATCTGTTAACAATATGTAGCAGAGTTAATCGGACATACGGCTCGATCCTTCTCGACCCAAGATGTCTGCGATAGAGGCGCGTACGGTGTGCAATCAGTCGCACTATTGATGGGACCGACATTGATCATGTTCTCCGTCAACCTGACTCAGAGTGAGTTCGTCAACGTGCTTGATGCCGAAAAATTCTGTTTGCTCCCACTGGCGTGGCAGCGGGGCGTTTATCCCGCTATGAACGCAATCTTGATGGTCATTCAGCTTGTTGGAGGTTGCATGACCATCTCATCATCGAGTGAGACTGTGGCGACGGGAACAAAGCTCGCAATCGCTCTCTTCGTGGTCCAGACAATTTTTTGGGGATTTACTATGGCAGAAAATATCTGCATAAGCTATCGCCTGGGTCGCCATCCCACAACTGCTAGCAGCTGCGTGTTAGCCAACTGGAAGACATGGAACCAATTGATCCCGTTAGCAGGGTCTATCATTGCGACTGGACGCAACATAATGCGGCTGACAATGGCAGGTGGCATTGAGTTTCTCGTGGACTATGAATGGCCTTCGTATGCATTTGATGGGTATCAGATGGTGGTGGTTCTGGGCGCTTGGGGGATCTGGTACTTACCGGGGAAGTGTCGCGAACTCTCGACTCGAGTGCGTTATACGAACCTCACTCGGCTGGAGAGGGTCGTGGATGATGTTTAATACTGGTTCCCATATCATCGACACATATAATCGCTTCTTGTTTGTAAGAACGGAACCTCAGCTGTCAGATAGGCGGTTTCGAACGATATTGATTCTGTCTCCTTCTCCTACCCCCTGCAACGGTTTATCTTTGGTCTTGTTTCCCACTCCCTTTCCTTTCCTTTATCTCTTTTTCTATCTGGAGCTCTGAAGGTCCGGCTGTATCACCATAGAATTTAAGTATCAAGACTTTCTATAGTAGCTGCCATGCACCCGAGCTGCTATGGTAAATGCCCCCTTCCCCGTTGGTTATTCAGCAATAAAAATGCGCCAGAATATCTGATTATGCAAGAACAACAGAGGTCTGCGCGGAGTGAAATGCGATAATCAGGTAAATACAAATACTCGTGATCAAGCATCTTGAACGCTGCAGGTTTCGGTTAATAATAATGGGCCAAGCACATCTTCTAGCACTTTACATTTACTTGGTGCTTCCAGCTTTTCTCAAAGGATCATATAAAATTATTTTATATTTGAGAAAAGCATAACCTCGAATCCTGAATACCAGTGTCGTCAACAACACTACCACGTATTTGCAACCCGAAAGCGAGCAGGAAGAAACAAGACCCATTCCTACGTCCGCTTCGTTGCCACCCGCAGGGATAAGTCCTCCAAAGATGGACTCTGCATCAAATCAAAGATAGAAACCTCAGCACCCACCTGCGCGACAAGCCAATTGCGCAGTTCCACCGCCACCAGCGAGTCCACTCCATAGGAAGACAGATCCTGAGCAGCAGACATCTCCTCGACCACCAACCCAAACATGCTGGCTAATTTCTGCATCAGCTCCTGGCAGATAAGCGCAGCAGCATCCACTGGGGAAGCGATCTCTGCAAGCTGATCCCTTATCTTTCCCTGTTTTGCCGTCCCCGTAGTAGCACGGGAAGATCCAGCCTGTGTACTGTCGCGATATCTCAGAGCGGCAAAGCGCGGGTCTTGGATCCAGGAGGCCTCATCCCAGTGTTTACCTGGGGCGGTGTTAATACCGGTGATGATCTGGGGTGGACCTGTGGGATGCGTGATGGCTTGTTCGAGGATCCGGAGAACTGTTTCTTCAGACAGAGAGGTAACCCCCATCTGGACGAGACGCTCTTGCACGCCATCGGTCTGGGCCACGAACCCTACTGATCGGACAATTCCCAGGTCCAGACTCACTGCGGGCAGACCCCGGTTGCGGCGGTACGTGGCCAGGGCATCCTGGAAGGCACCACCGGCGGCGTAGTTTGCTTGGCTGGCGGCTCCCATAACTCCCATCAAGGAAGAAAGCATGATGAAGAAGTCAACGTCGCCCAGCTGCTGGTGCAGGTTCCAGCTTCCCTGCGCTTTGGGGCGTACTGCCTCTTTGAAGTCGCCGACTTTCATTTGCTCGAGAATGGTATCCTGTGTAAACGTTAGTATATGCTGCACTGCCCATCCACTAGAGACCGATATGGAATGAAGGGAGGCAACATACTTTGAGCACCATAGCGCCCTGGATGACGCCTTTAATAGGAGGCATGTCAGCACACTGTGCCAGTGCTGCCGCCAGCTGATCCTCTGCCGCAATGTCACAGGCGAGGGTGCGAACTTCACACCCTTGTTGCTCAAGCTCAGTCACAAAAGGCCCAGGACGAGCATTCCGCGATATGATGATCAGATGCCGTGCCCCGCGGGCCATCATCCATTCACACAGGACGCGTCCAATACCACCAAGGCCGCCGACAATGACATACGATGCGTCGGATCGCAAAGAGAAAGGTGGGGGTCGCTCCACCACCTGCCCAGGTCACATTAGCCCTTGTAGAATTCACCTGCAGTCGAGGTGAGCTTGGAACTGGGAAGAGTGCGACTTACCGGCACAGTATCCTGTTCGCCGACCGAGATAATGATCTTGCCCATGTGTTGGCCAGTCTGCATAGTTCGGAAGGCTTTTTCGATCTGTGAGATAGGATATAGTGTAAGGGGATAGACCGGCATGATCTTCTTCTCGCCCAGTAGCTTCGAGAGGTTTTGCAGGACACAAGAGATATCTGCGCCTCTCCGGCTCTGCCATGTCAGCAAGTCCACCGACGAGAAAGAGACGTTCCGGGTGAACGGGTACATGTCTAAGCCGCTGTGTTGCTCGAGGTCCCGCTTGCCGATCTCTACCATGCGACCGAATTCCGCCAAACAGTTGAAGCTCTCCTGTAACAGACGGCCTGCAAGGGAGTTCAATACGACGTCAACACCTCGGCCGTCGGTTCGCAAATGTACATCGGTGGCGAATGATGGATCTCGACTGGAGAAGATATTGTTCTCTGGGATACCATACGTCTCATGGAGCAATTGCCGCTTTGCCGGAGTACTCGCGGTGGCGTAGATCTCTGCCCCGATCAGTTGGGCAAGCTGGATCGCAGCCTGGCCGACTCCTCCGGTAGCAGCGTGAATGAGGATCGACTCGCCGCGTTGGAGGCGGGCAGTTTCGTGCAGGGCAATGTAGGCGGTAGCAAAGACAGTAGGAAAAGAGGCGGCCTCCTGGTCACTTAGATGTTGAGGGATCCTCATCACGCTGGTCCAGGGTGCTCGAGGCCGCGTCGCCCAGTGGCCCCTGAGTAGCGTACATACACGATCGCCAACTGCAAAGCCCTTCGCTGCCGCAGTGGCTCCCAGCCGGACGATGGTGCCCGCGCACTCGAAGCCCATGATGGCATTGGCCTCCAACTGGCCCATTGCTACCATGACATCGCGGAAGTTTAGACCAAAAGCCGTGGGGTCGAATTCAATCCAGTCTGCAGGCAACGGGTCGGATTCTGCGTCTAAATCGTCGTGGAAGACCAAGGTGTCGATGAGCCCTGGGGTCCCGATCTTCATGCGAAGGGGACGAGCCGCATCTCGGAACCGGCAATGGATGGTCTTCTCAGTCGTGTCGCTCTCAGGGAAAATGTTTCTGTTCATGGGGATATCCTTCACGGTACGGGGAATGTGTAGGACCCCATCGCGCTCTGCATACTCGAACTCACGCGTGGCAGGGTCAGTAGTCTCACTGAACGAAGCGGGAAAAATCTGGGATATGGCTTGGACTACTTCCGCAGTCCATGGAGACCGTCGTGGATCCACGTCCAAGGAAATAAAGGATTTGCCTTGATATTCTGACTTCAGGGTGCGCAGTAACCCTTGGGACAGACTCATGGCCGGTTTGTCGACGTCCAAAGACCCGCCGCGGGTGACCCACAGGAGGCCCTTGCATCTTGTGGCCAGATGTATGATACGGTCAAATTCGACTGGGTTACTGACATGGTCCAGCAGGGGCTCGTACGCCTCGCCGAGAAAGATACAGATATTACCCTGGGGGGTAACTGTCTCCAACGTCGCAATTACTGGCTGACATCCGATATGAGCTGCCACGGCTGTTTGAAGCTCGCTCATCCAAGATGTCGGCGGTGGCGATGTGCCAGTGACGATAGTCACGGGTGATGTTATAGATGAAGCAGGGGCTTGAGCGGTGGAGAGAATTGTGCTGAAAGCGTAGAATTCCTCACTGTCGCAGTCGTGGACCTCAAGGTCCAACCCGGTGAAGCCGTTACGGGATAGAACCTGGTTCCAGAATGGCAGGGTGAGTGATGGGGTAGTTCGACGTTCCTCTTCCTCGCCTGTTAAAGAACATAATCAGTGCCATATACCAAATATAATGAGAAGTGCCAGGAAGGGGAAGTAATACTCAGCCACCATCCTGGCAAAAGGCCGAATGCGAAGAAAACATCTAGTTCGTCGCGCGTGGTCTCCATTAGAATCAATTTGCCCCCTGGCTTCAGAAGCTTGCGAACGTGTGTGAGAGTACGATCCATCGACTTGGTGGCATGAAGCACCTGGCAGGCAATTACTACATCATAGAGCCCTCTTCAAACCCTTGAGCCACGGGATCGTGTTCAATATCTAGCTTCTGGAAGTTCATCAAGTCCGCCCAGTCTTCGAAGCGTTCTTTGGCAGCCTCGAAGAAGCCCGCAGAGATATCCGTGAAGTCATATCGGCCAAATCGAGCGCCCGTCGAGGAACCATTCTCTTTGCCCAGGGCCTCCAAGATCACCTGCGTACCGCCTCCTGTGCCGGCTCCGATTTCTAGAATCTTGGCTCGGGGATTCTTGTGCGTGCAGAGCCTGACGAGCTCACTTACCTGGCGTGTCGACCGATCCCATTTCAGTGCCTCGAGGTAGTAGCGGAATAAAAGCCGGTTTTCCAACATTACCTCTAAAGGAGCCATTTCCTGCCGTAGAAAAGATGCTCCAAGTGGACCCAATCGGCAGAGCATCTCACCATTCACACTGGTCCGACCGACCTTCTCGTACAGGGCTGCCTTGTCCGCCGCGCTGATATCGCGCCACTGGGCGCTGTCGGGCGCGAACTGATTGCGACTGGCTTTTTTCAGCTGCTCCACCATCCACACGTAGAATTTCTTAAGATGTCCCCGCAACTGCTGAACATCAGCCACCGTCAGGCTGGAGACAATGTCAAGGATGTATAGAATAGTGGCTTGGCGGAGGTCGCGCATCGTCTCTATCTCCGCTGCCTCTGGCGCACAGCGAATCCGGTCCTTGCAGGCGGCCGCATCAAGTGTGCCAATATCTGGAGCCCATTCCCACCGGCTGCAGATTTCATTCTCGTGTGGATCTGCCTCGCGATCCAGGGCTCGTCCAAGTGACTGACAGGTCAAGCCATCCACTTCGAGCACCGGGCTGTTCCCGTCCTTGGCGTCCACCACAGTGAGGGATGTCTCGAATGACTGCGCGTCATAATCCCGATTCAGCGTGGCATATGCCTCCAGCTCATGTGCTGGACTACTGGAGATCTGCGCTGACACTCGGACAGACCGAATATGGCGGGGAACCATGGCGGAAGGCAGACGCGCGCCAGACTCAGGCAAAAGTGTATAGGCAGCCTGGAAGACCGAGTCCAGCGTGGTGGGATGCAGCACATGGGGTGTCTGGTACTTCTTCGGCATGACGGCAGCCGTATCCGCGATAGCAAAAATGGTGCGAGATGCGGACGGCTTCGCCAGTACTTGGTGGATGTTTTGAAACAGAGGCCCATGGTATATGCCCACGGATCGCATGGCTGCCCACATATAGCGGGGATCAATGCGGCGGTTATACAGGTCCTCCGACTGTGATGGTATGGCAGACGGGAGAGGAGTGCTGTCAGAGGTTGCGATAACTGAGATTCGTCCACTGCAGTGCTCCGTCCAGCGGCTGTCGCCAGAGACGGAGAAGATCTGGAAAGCCAGCCAGTCCTTCGTCCCCAGTATCTGCTCATCACACGGGCGGATATTTAATTGCACTTCGACTCCCTCATCTGCCTCGGGCACCGTGAGGGCTTTGGCAATATCTACGTCGCGCAGCTCGTACGCGGACACAGTTTGCTGGCGGCCCGCCGCCACTTGCCGCATGCCCTCTATGGCCATACTAATCAGGCCAGCACCGGGGAAGACAATGCTCGACTGCACCCGGTGATCTCCCAGCCAGGGCAGATCTGTTAAGCGAATAATGTGGCGCCAAGTGTGTGCAAGCGGCGTGATGCTTGGTTGAGAGTAACCTACCAAATCCGAGGGCGGCGCTTGCCGCTGTCTGTCGGCTCGGTTTCGCCGGGGTTCGAGCCAGTATCTCGTGCTATGATTCCATGGGTATGATGGAAGGTCGTGCAAGATGGAAAGAGAGGGCGGGCCGTGAGGGAAGTTGACGGCATTGAGATCGACGGGGTAGCCTCTGTGAGTTAGTTCAATCGCTAGGCGCTGCATGGCGAAGACGGCATCCTGCTTTCGTACCAGAGTGGGCAGGTAAGAGATCCCACTACCCTCAAATTCGGGGAGGGTCATGAGCTGTTGAATCGGACCCCCTAACGCTCCATGTGGCCCGATCTCGAGTACTAGGTCGACATCTTGGGTGTCTTTGGCGCCTTTTGGGCTTGGATCACCAAAACACATATGACGGAAGGAGCTCTCGAACAGAACCGCCTGCAACATATTTCCTACCCAGTGCGACGAGGTCGCTAGTACAGTGCCGTCTTGGATGCGCGAGCCTGTCTTGGGGGAGGAGAACAGGACTGATCCGAAGTCGGGATGAGGGGTGAGCAGGTAGCGTAGACTCCAATCGAATAGGTCAGCCATAGGGCGCATCTGCTCGCAGTGGAACGCCCCATTGACGCGGAGACGCCGAGCGAAGACTTGGTCTTCCTGCAGCAACTGTTCAAGCTGGTCGATTGCTGGGATATCACCTGAGATTGTGACGCTATACTGGCTGTTTACGCAGGCCACGACGCAGTACCCCGCAGTGACGCGACTAAGGTAATGTTCAACCGTTTCACGTCCAAGCCCAACGGCCATCATGCCCCCTTTGCCGAGAATCTTGTCATCAAACTTCTCAGCTAACACTCCACGAAGGTAAGCAATGCCAATGGCTGACTTCATGTCCAGGGCTTTCGATGCATACGCTGCTGCAATCTCACCGCTCGAATGACCTGTCACAGCCGTGGGATGGATGCCCCAGGACCATAGCAGCTCCACCAGGGCTATCTGGATGGCGGTGGCCAGACCCAGACTGTAGATGATGTTGTTGACCTGTGAAGTGGATTCCTCTCTATGCAGTTCCTCTTTATGTATAATTAGCAAGGGTTGCTTTAAGGTAGAGCGCTCAATACCCACCCATTAATGTCCACGTCGACCCCATCTCCGTCATGTAGCGGTCGCACTCCAAAATGGTTGACCGAAATACCGGGTAAGTGGCAATTAGTTCACGACCCATAGCATACCACTGAGCCCCTTGGCCAGTGAATACCCATCCCAATCGTAAACAGGGGGCTGCGCGTGACGGCACCAAACGCTCATCATCGTCCAGTGCCCGTGTTAGATCTGCCAGAGACCTGGCCGACACAGCTGCGGTCCATGGGAAGACAGAACGGCGCGATCCCAGGGTGTATGCAAGGCGGTCCAGGAAGGCTTCCTCGTCGACTGGTGGGTGGGACTCTATATAGGCACTTAGGTCGGCGGCCATCTGCTGGCAAGCCTGGGCATCCTTTGCACTCAAGCGGAACACCCATGGGGTTTCCCTTTTGAAAATGTTGGTTTTGTTGCCATTTACCACCGGACCATTGCTCTTTAGCTGCCCATTCGTTCGATTAGCCCCATTTTCTCCAGTTGTGCCGTTCATTCCAGCCGTTCCGTTTGTTGCGTGCGTTCCATTTACATGGGTGCCGTTGGTGGAACCTACCGGGGGCGATTCCAAAATGGCATGAGCATTGCTACCGCCAAAACCGAAATTGTTGACGGAGGCACGTCGGGGACCCTTCCCCACAGGCCATCTTTGCGTTGATACAGGAACCTGTTCAAACATAACCGTTCGCATGAGAGTTTTCTACCAAATAAGGTATTGTAGCCTACCTCCATGTTTCTATTATTTAACCGCAGCTCACTGTTCGGTGTATTCAGTTGCGTATTCGGCGGAATTTGTCCCTTCTCCAGCGCTAGGGCCACCTTTATGACGCTGGCCACGCCACTGGCAGCCTCAGTGTGTCCAATATTGGCCTTGATAGAGCCGAGATACAACGGGTGCTCCGCCGATCGACTGCCTCCCAACGCGGCTGCCAGCGCGCCGACCTCCAGCGGATCGCCGGCTGGAGTACCGGTTCCGTGCGCCTCAACGTATGTAGTCTGTGCGGGATCCAAGTTGACCCGTTCATAACACTGGCGGATCAAGGCTTCCTGGGCGGCTTGTTGTGGGGCTGTGATGCTGGGGGTCTTACCGTTCTGGTTCACCCCGGTCTCGCGGATGATGGCGCGGATGGAGTCGCCATCGCGCAGAGCATCGTCTAATCGCTTAACGAGTAAGGCACCCACTCCTTCACCTCTCCCATAACCGTTGGCACGGCTGTCAAAGGCATACGATATACCGTCGGGCGACAAAAAGCTTGGTCACATTTATCAGTGCCACCTGTTCAACGTGTGACAGCTGGAAGTTACTCACCCGATATTGGACATGCTGAGGAAAACGTCGGGGTTTATCATGAGACTTGCTCCCGTCACGATAGACATGTTGGATTCTCCATTGCGCAAATTCTGGCAAGCCAGGTGCAGAGCCGTCAGACTTGTGGAGCAACCTGTATCAACGGTCATGCTCGGCCCGCGAAGGTCATAAAAGTGGGAAATGCGGTTCGACGCCATCGTGGCAGCATTGCCTGTCATAAAGTATCGAGGTAGCGTGTCCAAGTCACGGCTATGAGTGTCGTGGTAGTCGCGAAACATCACACCCCCATATACTGAAGTATTCGTTCCTTTAATGGACTCCATTGGAATCCCCGCTGCAAGCAAATGTGTCAGTCCTCGGGCGGTGATAGGCGTGAAAGGTGACTGCATACCGCTCTCCAGAGCCTCGTAGACAACCTCGAGTTCCATCCGATATTGCGGGTCCATAGCCTAGCAACCTTCATGTCAGTTTATTTTGGTGGTAGGCCCGCTGGGAGAATACGATGGAACAATCCTACACTAGCGGTTTCTGAGGCCATGCCGAAGAAGGCCGCATCGAAGCAGGCAATATCATCTTCGAGAAAGTGACCGCCTTGCACGTGGGTCTAGAGAGAAAGGCATGGGTCAACTTGAACACTTGAAGGGACAGAATAAGCATGTCTTACCGTCCCCACACGCTCGCCGTTTGGATGGTAAAGGCCATTTGCGTTAAACCGTGAGGTTGGTATCTCCGACCAGCCGGAACGCCGTTGTACGATCATGTCCCACAATTTCTCGGGGCTTGTGGCGCCGCCAGAGAAGCGGCAGGCCATGCCTATGATGGCCATCGGGGCCGTTGAATACTCACCGGCCATTGTAAGTGGATAAATCGCTCACAGGTCTGAAGAGAAAAGAATGTACAATCTACGTTAATGTTTCAAGAGGGGTATGGAGCGTCGAATGGAGGGGAAATCACCATTCTGAAATGGGCTGATTTTCGGATAGGGCCATGAAGCCTATTTTCATTATATTCCATCAGTTGATCCTCGTTAACTCTCTTTGCGGATATGATACTCTGCCGTACCAGCCGCATGGAGATTGTCCTTGTTTTACTTCCTGTTTAGGGCAAGTCCGGCGAATTACTCCGCAGCGTATCCGACGACCATGCAGTCCTCGCGTGGCTCCTAGCCTCTGAAACACTGACTTGACGTTCCTATCGCGTGGAAGCAGAGTGCGCTTGGGCTGAGATAATCACACTTGCAGCCATGCGATGGAGTTTCCCTTCGGACTTTTGCTAGCCAACAGGGACCCGCATCCTTCCAGTCACTCTCAAGCCGGTCTGACAAAACGCATAAGCACGGAGTTAATAGGCCTCCCTCGGAGTACCATAATCCCCATCATTGAAGATCCAGGACTCAAAAATATATAGTGCGCTACTGATAAGGGGGACCTACTCCAAAGTGTCTCGCCGTTTGTCTTCTCGTTCAGTCCTCGTCGGCCAATCATGTTTCGGACAATTCTTCTTTGCTCTCTGGGGCTAACCACACTCTCGTCTGCTGCCACGCACAACATCACATCTATCTTCAGTTCCAGCCTGTCTCCGGGCGCGCAGATCTTTCTACCTTCCGACACAAACTACACAGAGGACGTAACACAGCGATGGACCACATACGACGCCCCCACCTACATCGGGGCAATCAAGCCAGCTACGGTCAAAGATATACAAAACATTGTAAGACGACGGCTTCCATTCCATTATCAGACAGCAAGTACCACAGCTCACCGGAAAATTGCGGACTAGGTGACTCTAGCTGCATCCAACAAGATCCCTTTTCTCGCCACAGCGGGCGGCCACGGCGCGACCATCACCTATGTTAATTGTACCAATGGCATCGAAATTGATATTAGCAACTTCAATACTGTTTCGATTGACGCTTCCAACAATACCATGACCGTTGGTGGAGCAGTACGTTTTGAGGACATCATCCCGCCTCTCTACGAGGCGGGTAAAGAGCTGCGTATGCTCCCGCCCCCCCCACCACCTAGCATCCAAAATGTCTACAACCCTTATGCTAACAGCAATTACCCAGCTACCGGTACCGCACCGTGTGTCGGACTCGTTGGGGCGACTATCGGCGGCGGGATAGGAAATCTACAAGGCCTGCATGGGCTGATTCTTGACTCCCTGCTGTCCGTCGAGCTGGTAACGCCCAGCGGTGATGTCCTCATCGTATCTACCTCTGAAAATGCCGATCTCTTCTGGGCCATCCGCGGCGCCGGTGCCAACTTTGGCATCATCACCTCAGCCACTTACAAGATCTACAATGCCACAAATAACGGCCTGGCCATGAGCGCCAATTACCTATTCCCCGCTAGCGAGAATAGGTCCGTGTGGGAGATCTTCCAGTCTTTTGATGAGACGCTTCCCCCGGAGCTGTCATTGACGGCATACTCGGGATTCAATCAGACCACTCAAGAGGTTCGTTCTCACGTAGCCTTACTTTTATGATTTTCAAGACTAACGCAAACGGGGTGACAGATGGAGCTGATCGTTAATGCGATCTACTACGGGCCAAAAGAAGAGGGGGTATCTTACCTGACCAATTTTACAGCGCTCAATGCAACAGAAACCAATCTCATGATGGTAGCCTGGCCCAACGTGACAAGCTCGATGGCCTTTGGTGCGGACGGTGATGCCTGCACCACCGGTTCCTATCTCAACACCTGGGGACTGGGACTGGCCGAGACAAACATCGACACCTACACAACCTTCTTCAATGAGCTGCAGGCCTTCTCCCAGGCTCACCCCGACTACTCGGGAATATTCGTGGTCGACCGCTACAGTTCAGCAGCGGCGGCAGCCGTTCCAGCCAACAGCACCTCCTACGGCTATGGCTACCGAAACATCAATTCTCATCTGTATGCTTCTGCCATCCAACACGATTCATTCCGTGACTAACACACTGGGTATAGGCTATTCGAAAACTCCTACCCCAGTGATAATTCTACCCTCGATAACGCCGTCAATTCCTTCATGCGGTCCATCCGCTCACAGTTCCAGCGTACTAGTGGCTTTAGCGAGATGGAAATTTACTTAAATTACGCTCATGGCGACGAAGGCGCTGATGTTTGGTACTCGCCACAACACCTGCCTAAGCTCTCGCAGTTGAAGTCTAAGTGGGATCCGGATGAGCTTTTCAGTTTCAATTATCCGGTGCCGTTGCCCTAGATCAGTTGCTGCGTAACATGTGTATATATATCAGTTGTGCCGGTGTCCATACCGCGGCATTAATTGGCTTTTGCATCGGGGGTTTAGATTTGCAGAGTGAGTAACGACTATTACATTCTTCCTATTTACATATAATGAATACAAGTTTTGTTTCGGCTTATTCAAGATTTATTAAACGTCAAAGGTCAACTACAAGGCGATACAACGGAGTCGTCGTCGGCGCCGTTGACAGATCGACAGTTAGATCTACTCAGCCTATTGCCGTAGTCACATGCTCGAGCCAAGGGCTTAAATTATAGTGGTGGAATCCCAATCGAAGCTCTGGTTCCTGGAGCTCATTCTATATCTTGCATGTTCAGACGTCCAATCTGATTTTCTCATCAGGCGAGTCTTTTGGTCGTTGAATTGAAACATAACAAGAACGAGAAAGCAGTGTGTATATACCGGAAGTCTGACTCTGGGTGACCCCATTCAGGGTGTACAGATCCTTCTTCAAATACGATAACTCTTGGGTCCTCCGTATTCGAGGTCTGGAATTCCCCACCTAGCAAGTGAAACAGAGTAGGCATCGTCATAACATACCGGAAGCTCGATGTCACCCAATATTTAGGACGAGGACTATGAGTGGAACACGTCACCTGCATTAGAACCCCTTCTCTGGTATCTCCCATGCATCGACTGCCATAATAAACTTGCTCCAAAGAGGGTAAGGGCATCCCATAGTAATTTTCACTACCTGAAAACCCTTGTAGAGCGCCTGAGAACGCCCGTAGGATGTCTGATACAAATTTTAAATCTCGCTGCGTAAACGCATTGAGCTGTATCATGTAGGGTCGAGTGGTACTGTCCCCGTTGCGCAAATTTAATTCTTTTAATTCTTGGATGCTTGTTCATGAATAGTACCGTGATTGGTACGTTATTCGCTTGTATAGTATGTTCTAGTTACTATCAGACCTATCTAGCAGCATTCTGAACTCTGAGATTCAGCCACGGTTCCGGCTTGCACTTATTTCCGCTAATTACCACGTATCCTTGGTACTATGTTCAATAAACTCGAAGATGTCAACACCCATGTCTAATAACCCGGGACAGTGATTTTTCGTCAAGAGAATAGATAGTATGGGACAGCATTGTCGACACTGATGCGACAACACGATCATAATATCTTCTGTCCTCAGGCGCTCGACCGACCCAGCTTGCGAGGAGCCTTCTCCACCTGCTCAGGCAGCCAGCGCAGTGTAAATGCCAGGACAAGCACTAGCCCACCCAGCACGAGCCAAAATGTGTAAAATCCAGGACTACTAAGCTTAAGGGTACTCGCGTACATGGAAGTGAACATTGCTGGGGCGACAGCGCGAAGAAAGCTGATGATGGCCAAGGACATGGCATTGAGCGTGCCTAAGGCGGCGGGTGACGGTGAGACGGAGTCGAGCGCGAGTTGCATAGCCGCTTAATACCATTAGCTATCAGCCCTCCACCTCCATAGAGTAGTGAGCAAATTTGGGATGTGTCTCACTCAGCTGCATTGCAACACTGCTGCCTAGTATCAAAGCTAGCGGCGCCAAAATCCAGAACGCTACCATCTCACCATGACGGTGGAGAACACTGGCGCCTACAGTAGCAGCCAAGAAAATAATCCAAACGAAACATAAGCCTCGTAAGATGTTACCTGTGCCGAGACGTTTGTGTAGTGGCGGGTATACTAGCACTAGCCAGATGGTTTGAGCGATCCCCGATCCGCCAAGGAAGAGAGATATATAGAATGGAGAGAAACCGTAGCCGCCTAGACGTGGCGATGTGAAGTAGAATACCGGGGAAACTTCAATAAGAGAGCTGGTTAGATTTGGTAGATATTTGGGGCGCTCGAAAGAGAGCTTACCCGCAGTGTACGCGAATGCCAACATCATCGAAAGGCCGTGAATATAGAGAACTGGTAGCACGCCTTGGGATCGGAGGATCTTGGCACTAGTCCATGTTGGTGAGGCTGTTTCATGAGGTGTATGATCTGCGGGTTTCCGCGTCTGAAGGACCCCTCTTAGCTTCCGCGAATTGTGTCATTGTTCCTTACCCATGGCCTCTCACCTCGTTGACGAACATCAGACAGGCAACCGTGACAGTTACTCCAAAAGCTCCGGCTGCGACAGTGGGTAACGCATACGGATAGTGACGGAACACACCACCAGGACGACAAAGTGCTCCGCCTACGGAGCCCACATCAGCATGTGTCAGGCGTGCTGACGGCAGGGATAAACATTAGCTTACCAAGCAGAGGGCCAATCACCGTTCCAATGGTGTTCGCCAAGGAGAAGTAGCTGAATGCCCGGGCCTGGGTGTCTGGAGTGCTATTCTCGGAAATCATCACTCGGACAGTACTATGCAATTCATGATCAGCGTCTCACCCGTCCCAACGTGTCAGCATATCACGTACACAACGGTCCCACCGAACGTCCCCGCCAAGCATCTGAAGAAAACCATTTGGCCTAAAGTCCGACTGAATCCGAACAGCGCAGATGAGATGGATAAACCGGCCAGGGAGAGGATCAGGACCGGCTTGCGTCCCATCCGATCTGCTGCTCGTGCCCAGGGGATCATTAACATCATCTGAGTCACCGAAAACAACGATTCCTGAAGGTGGAAGTTGTTAGCGTAATGGTACTAAGAGAGAAGGTAGAGGGCTGACAATGATGCCGCTGTAGAAGCCGACGTCGGCTTCGTCGATGCCTGCCGTGTCGGCAATCATCTGGTTGACGAACGGGAAAATAGTGAAGAAGGCCAGCGGGTCAATTGCTCGAGCACAACAAAGTAACGCGACCTGACCCATTGACGATTGAAGTTCTTTGGGCTTGGTTGCTGCAGGTACGACGCCATTATGTCCAGGCCCATCTTGCGATGGCAGTAGTGGGGAGGTCTCGTCTGCCACGGCGGGAGGATGTACAGCCATGACGAAACGAGATAGTGGGTAGTGTAAGTGGTCTTCCTGGCACAAAGGCAGCTTGGCAGGGCACAATCTCCTTAAGACGGTTCATCTTGGCAATTCGTGATAGGACCAGGAGCAGCAGGATAAGCTTTTAGCATAGTCTCGCTAAACCTGCTCCAATGCGGAGTATCAAAAACTCCAGCCAGACGATCCCGGATGATGGCCCACTGACAGTTTGCATTATATGCCCGAACTCTACTTTAAGTCGAAGGAAGCGCTCTTGAAGGACCTTAAGGTCTTTCACCGCTTCAAATTCTCGCTCGGATTACCCCAGTATTCTGGCAGCTAGCATGGCCCCCCAAGAGCCTGTTTCATCGCATAACCCGGCTGACGTGAGAAAACCAATCTTCCATGCCCACACCCCGCTGACAATATGATAACTTCTGGCTAATCAGATAGACGGGATAGCCCGCCCTTGTTTTGGCCCAAGAACAAGCCTTGGTATTTCCCAGCTTTACGACAACCACGGCATGGACACTTGGGGTGGCGCTACGATCCCACATACTGGCTTTGCCCGCCCACAAGAGACGACCAGCCGTGATCTCCATCTGCCTGTCTGGCTCATCAGCTCCGCAGTTAGTTTTCCACTGTGCTACAGAGCCGGGAACCCGAGTAGACCATGTTCTTTGGCTTAAGCGCAAGACGAAGACAGTCCTCCGCTGGCAGGTGTCTACCTGGTACCTCCACTGCCGGTTGAAGCCAACTCGTGCAAATGAGTCCGTGTGTGTCGGGCCTTCAGTTATGGAGGGAATAGAGGTGTTGGCTGAGCAGTTTGCTCTGTCACCGGTGGAACGATACGAATATGCCTTGCAGGCGGGTGGGTTTCCGATTCGCGTGGAGGGAGTCGAAGGGGTCGTGGGGGTAATTGCTGTGAGTGGGCTGCAGGAGGAGGCTGCCGACCACGAGGTCATTGTTGCTGCTATACGGGAATTCCTAGATGGAAAGAAAGAAGACAGTGGTGCGAATGCTTCCTAATGATGATACAATATATTTTCCATCCTATATGGCAAAAACATCTGTCTTGTCCTACGTAGGCAGCATGTGCTCAAATAGCAACATATACTCCATTTTCCTGTATGCTATGTAGGATTAACTCACCATTGGAACGAGAAAATGGGTGGGTAAAAGTCACAACGTCGTTCCAAGGGTCCTCATATTGCTTTTGCCCTTCGATCGGACTTTTGGACGATACTCATCGTCCTCCCAATTAACACAGCTGGCCAATACATCTCAGCTGCCTAATCCAGCGAGGAAAGCTAGACCATCGCCATAATCACACACTTCTAGGGGCGCGAGAAGGCGCGGCTGTTCTCGACCACGGCCACCAGGACCACCTGGGCGAACACAGCGCGTCGCTTCGCCCGCAGTACTGCTATTACCATGAGACTGCCGGACTCTCTGGTACCCGCTGATGGTAAATCCTTTTCGGGGGTATCGGAAGATGCATTCCTGGCGTCAGCATCGGTGGGTCGCAGAGGGGCCATGGTCGAATGACTAGCCGCGCTCGCAAAGCTATCGAGAGACAGCTCTCCTTTCTGGTAGTTGAACGTAATCGTTACAGATGACCGCTGATCCTGTGTAGATCTGAACAGAAAGATGTTCTTCATCGCCCTCCATTCAGGGGAAACAATAAACCAACACATTCATGGCCGTCAATAACAGAAACTCCGCCGGCATTGAATCCCGACGGGGAGTTTGGAACGACCTTGAGAAACATTACGCAAGAAGGTTGATCATCCAACAAAATGAAAGGAAGGGCATAAATATGCGCAAGCTTTCGGAGTTAAGAGAGCCTATCTTATCTCCTGGCCGTCGGGATTGCACCAAACCCGATCTGCTTTGTATATAGTTCACTGCCCCTCTTGCCAGACGATTCCCGCACTGCCCCATCAGCCGTAAATAAGCAGTTATTCCGTCTTACTTATTAACTACTTCTTGGCATATCTGACGTCAATTTCTTTGAGCATCTATCTTTTCAAATCTCAATCATCAATATGCCCACCAACTTCGCCGCCATCGTTCCCGGCAAGAACCAGTCGCTGGTCGTCCAGGAAGCGCCGTACCCAACAGCGGGAGAGAACCGCATCGTCGTGCGGGTCCATGCCCTGGCAGTCAATGCGGTTGACTATGCCACTCAGATGATGGGTGAGACTCTCTTTCCGTGGGTCACTTATCCACTGGTGCTGGGAGAGGATATCGCGGGTGAGGTCGTTGCGATTGGTCCGGGAGTCACCCGCTTTAAGCCTGGTGATCGCGTGGTTGGCCACGCAGTGGGAACCAACAGCAACAACAGCGCTGAAGGAGCCTTCCAACAGTATGTGGTGTTGCTAGAGAACATGGCTTCTCCTCTGCCCCACGCTCTCGAATATCAACAGGCAGCTGTTGTCCCTCTGGCCTTCTCCACCGCGATCGTTGGTCTATTCCAAAAGGACTATCTGGGTCTGCAGATCCCGTCGCTGACCCCAACCCGGACGGGGAAGACCCTACTGATTTGGGGTGGAGCCACCAGTGTGGGCTGCAACGCCATCCAGCTGGCTGTTGCGGCTGGATACGAGGTCATCACTACTTGTTCCCCGCATAATTTTGACTTGGTCAAGAGTCTAGGGGCTACGGCGGCGTTTGACTACAAGAAACCGTCAATCCGTGACGATCTCCGAGAGGCCTTTCGAGGCAAGACGTGCGCAGGAGCCCTAGCTATTGCTGGCGTGGTTCCTCAGACCCGCAATGAAGCGGCGGAGGCTTGTCTCAACCTGGTTGCCGAGTCCGAGGGTGACAAGTTTGTCGCTTTGTCGATGCCTGCACCCCCGAACGTGCCGGACGGAGTGTCCTGCAAGTTCATCTTCGCCAGCACCGTCAAGGATAATGAGGTCAGCCATCAGCTCTACGGATACCTCGGTGAAGCTCTAGCACACGGAAGCTTCATTGCTGCGCCCGAGGCCGAGGTGGTGGGCACTGGATTGGAGGCGGTTCAAGGGGCCTTGAATGCCTTGAAACAAGGGGTTTCGGCTAAGAAGCTGGTGGTGACGTTGCCGTAAGCCGGCTATGAGACATCGGCTTTCAGGAGTGATGAATCATGATGTGCAGGGCTCGTTGATTGGTGTGATTATTCTTTATCGATGCCTTCGATTATATTCCGTAGTAGTACTAGTCAGAAAAAAAAAATGATACTGCGGGGTCGGCCATCTTAATTACCCGGACTTTCCACCGGAGTTTTCTCCCACGTTCCACTGATGAATGAGGGGAAATGGGGGTGGCAACAGCAGGATTCGTTAGTTGACTAGATGATCCAATCGCTTCCAGCCTCGCAGGCCAAGCTCATATGGGGTGTTGAAGAAGTAAATCAACCTGGCGGCCCGGAAGAGCCACAAAGCTTCATTTCGGCCTATGGTGGACCTGCTCCTCTCTTCCAGCGCCCTGCGATTGGCCCCATACTATGAGCAAAACCCGCCGGCGTCTGTGCACGCACCGTGCTTGCCGTCCTTCCACATGGTCTGGGCCGACAGAACGCAGGGTAGGCGAGCTGAACGAGCAGCAGGATCTCCTGCACCTATCCTGCATACTGCACTCTGCCATATGGCAGCGAGTGATCAGACCCTTCCAGCGCTGATAAGGGACAATCCAATATTCTTCGCAATGCTAGGTTGGCCGTTTCAGCATTCCTCTGCCGGCCATCGATGTTGATTGGGGAGCCAACAAGGCTCTGCTTATCGGCGGGCTTATGTTCGTCTCGGGGATTCTCTTAGGTCAGCCACGACCAGGAATCTCCCCCCGGTCGCCTCGTATATTCACAAATCCATTGCTGCACGCTGCTGACGCACGGGAAAGGAAAAGACGGGGAAGTATGAGGTGAGCCGATGGCAAACACGCCGCCCTTTTGGAAGCCGCAAGTGGATGTGGTATGGCCTTTCATCCTTCAATCCTTCAATCCTTCTTGCGGGCTGTGAAATTTATCGGTCAGCCATGAGAGACTCATGATGAGGGGGAGATAAACGACGATTTGGTGGCGCTTGGTGTGGGACGTGCCCTGTTTGGCATGCCATTGGCCTCCTGCACACTGGATCGGCGAGCCTTTTGTGGCCATGAGGCAGCAGCTTGAGTTGGTTAAGTAGGCTGGATGTCAAGATAAGGGTCCTTCTTTTCCTGAAGAAGTCAGCCTATCGCGCTTGATGGATCGTGATTGTGATCGTAACTGTGACGGTGACTGATCATGTCAGACTCCCGAACCACAACCACCAAAAACAACACTACAAACCACAAGACCTCGCGCCAGGGCCCTGGTTCGGCCTGTGAGGAATGCCGTCGCCGGAAGCTACGGTGCGACCGTCAGCCGCAGTGTCAGAACTGCGTTGATGCTGGTGTTTATTGTGTCACCAACCTTGCACGCCCCGCGCGTGGTCCAAAGAAGGGTCATCTAAAGGCCTTGAAGGGCCGCATCGGTAGGGCCTTGAATTTCCTTCGTGAGGATTGAGCTTGTTGCTGATTATGTCTCCTGGGAACAGCCACCCTCGAGCGGTGTCTTCTGGAGCAGCGCGATGGCATGCTCGTTGATCCCATCTCGGACGATGAGCTGCTGGATAAAGCGCTGTCCGCCTCTTCGCCAGCTTCCCTGTCCCCGGACCCCCCTGAGGAAGTATCCGAAAACATTCTGGAAGACCTGTATGTTTCACCTTCCCTTCCATTACGAGATTGAAGTCATCAGACTCACCGGCTCAGGGACCAGGTGTTTTTCGAGCGCGTCCAGCCGATGGTCCCCATATTGCAACGCCATCGATACTTTTCCTGGGCACGGGAACCTCAGCAATCGGCAAACCGACGGGGGCTGCAGCAGGCTATTCGCACGCTGGCCGCTGGCGTGAGTAGCCAGTTGCCCGAGGTACGCGTAGCACTGTATCGGACCACGCGCCACACACTGGAGTCCCTCGAGTCGGACGACACTTTGTTGACAGCCCCGGATTTCGAGCAGGTGCAAGCGTGGATACTCATCGCCATTTACGAGTTTATGCAGGTCTCATATTCTCGCGGCTGGATGAGTGCCGGTCGTGTATTCCGACTAGTGCAGCTGCTGCGCCTGCCGGAGATAGACGCTTCGCCTCTCCCGCTGCTCGACCTAGACCTAGACCCAGATTCCAACTGGGTGGTGGCCGAGGAGAAACGACGCACCGTGTGGATGGCCTACATAATGGACTGTTCCCTAAATTTACGCCATAAGGGCTCTCTCACCCTGACGGAGCAAGCGCTGACCCGACTCCCCATGCCCGAGACTGAATTCCAATGTGGTCACCCTATTTCAATGGGCTTTTTGGCCGAAGCCCTCGCGGGTACGGATATTACCAGTCCCCTATCCTCCTTTGCTAAATGTATCCTGCTAGCCACTATCAGTGGCCGCACTCTGTCACACCGCCATCTATCCATGGCTGAGCTCCTCCGAGGAAATCCTCTTCAGGATGTCTGGACTCGCCATCAGTGGATCGACACGACGCTCACAGCCCACCTGCAGCTGTGCTTCCCGCTTCCCACAGCCGCGGAATCCAGCGACCCTATGCTCCTGTTTGCCAAGATGATCGGGCAAGCCGGTGTCCTCTCCCTGTATGACATCCTCCAGTCCACGCCCTGGGAGCCCGAAACAGTCAGCCTCCTACCCGACTACGAGGCATGCGCGTTCCACGCGGCCCGCGAGACCGTCGCTCTAGCACGTAATCTACGCCATTTCAGCTGCTTCAAGGTGCATCCCTTCACTCCCATTCTACTAGGTCTATGTGCAGAGGTATTGCAGCACCCTGTTGCCCGTAATGATACCCCAAAGCTGTTAGGGGAGGTGCAGGACGCCTTGAAATATTTGAAGACTGTGAATCGATTGGCTCGACAGGAAGCAGCAGCTCAGGATATTCGCCGGTCGTGATCCTGGTCTCGAAGCTCAGGGCAGCCCGGGAGGCCGTCATGGTCGTACGCGACATTTCCGCCCTTTGCTCACTAGATTAGATGATAAGATGCCAGTTGTACATGCTTGTAACTCATTAGATATTTGACTATGGTTTCTATTTATAGTGTCTGGTTCTCCTAGTCTGTTGTGATGGTAGTATATTAGGCAACGACTCAGCGGCATTCAAGCCTAGGCAGATTGGTAGTATATATATTGCCATGCTTGTGGTACACAAGACTAGCAAGTTACCCTCGTGTAGTCCTATCTAATCAATTTGGATACTAAAGCCAAGTGAAATGCAATACATATCATGAGCCATCAGGAGCGTTAATTCAACTATCCATAACAGCGACTTCTCCAAATTATCGTTCTCTCTAGCCTACGTATCTAGACTCTGCGTGATAGTCCACAATCACTAAGGAACAGTTCATTGTCCAAATTATCTAGCAACTACCAAACAAATCAACCAAATCTTAGACTCAAGGATTCAAAAATTCCATCTCCTTCCATGACTGAATATACTTCCTCGCTAACTCGGCAGTGACCGGCCCAACAGCCGCCAAAGTTGGCGAATGCTCACACGCTCGCTTCGTATCCAACAACAGCCCTCCACACGACATGCGCAAGAAATGATCATCCAAAAAATCAATCAACAATGCAGCAGGGTTATCCCATTCCACTTGACCGGGGAATGCCCTCACCCGACAGACCCAGTCCGCAAATGGAATAACATTTTGAGCCGGGATGCCGAGCGCATCGATCAACACCGGTACCATCTCGCTCCAGGATTGTCGGACTGGATTATCGATGTGGTATATTTGTTGGTCGGTCGTACTATTTGAATGCGTAGATCGAAGTAGAAGGTCACTCAGCGTAGCAGCGACGTCATTAACGGGCGTCCAGCACAAATCACCTGTGAAGTCTGGGAACACTTGCAATGTCTGCGCCGATTTGAACAAGAAGGACAGGTGCTCCATCGGGTTCCAGTACCCGCTTGTCCGGGATCCCGCAATCTGACCCAGTCGGACAGCCATAGCGCGGAACCGGTCGGGATATTGATGCAGAGTGCGGTCGAGCATCTGCTCGCAGACGTACTTGGCTTCGCCGTAGCCGTTGGCCAGTACGGACTCGATCCCCATGCGGGCCTCGGGCACCAAGGTCTGTCCACTCCATAGAGGGTAATATCCAACTGTTGCGATGCTGGAGATAAATTGGAAGACGATCCGCGGGGCGTTGGCTGGTCGAGTAGAGGAGCATTGTGCTGCTAGATCGAGGAGGTTTCGCATGACTTGGAATTGTTGTTCCAGGCCCGATAGGGGTCGTTTACCGGTCATGGGCCATGCGTTGTGGATGATGTGCGTTGTGGAGGTTACGAGGTTGCTGTAGACTTCATCGGTGAGTCCTAGTTGCGGCTTACTGCTGTCGGTTTGTAGGACGCGGATCTTGGACATGCTGGCGGCTTCGAGGAGGATACCGCGTCGCTCGAATGCCTGTTGTTGGCGAAGGTCTGGGTCCATTGGGCTGCGCCGGTTTAGGCATATCACGGTTTGGACGTCGTCCAATGCTGCTACGGCGGCCACGAGATGCACCCCCAGGCTGCCGGTTGCGCCGGTGATTAGCACACATTGCTTCTCCCAATAACTGGTTGAGTTGGAGATGTCTGGGTTAGAGCTTTGAGCGGGCAGCGTGAACCCTTTCGTATACTTATCGAGATACTCATTTACCGCGGCCTGTCGACTAGCATGGCTTCCTGGAACGAACTTCGGGGGAGGTGCCGGCGGGAGAGGCTGCCGGCCATAGCGAGGCCCTGAGGCAAGGGCGATTATCACGCGTTGAATCTGCACCTCTGGGCGATGGCCATCTGTCCAGTCTACTTGGCCATATCCCACTGACTGAAAGACCTTCTCCCACCAGCCTGCGGAGGCAATCGCATGATCCCGACCGTCGGCGAAGAGCCACCAGCCATCAAACAATCCGAAGATAATGTCCACCCAGTGAACCGGCTGGGTCATCTCCACGATCATGAGGAAGCCGTCGGTCTTCAGAAATTCGCGAACATGGCGGGAGGAGTCAGTCAAGCTGTGTGTTGCGTGGATGGCGTTACTGGCGATCACAATGTGCTGCGAGTGTCGGAGCTGATCGCTGGGGGGCTTTTCGATATCGTGCACCTGGAATTTCATGAACGGATATTCCTTCTGGTACTTCTTCCGGGCTGCGGCAACAAACGATCCGGACAGGTCGGTGAAGGTATACTCCACGGGGATTCCTAGTCGAGCTAATAGAGGAGCCATTCCCTTCGTGGTACCTCCGGTGCCTGCTCCCATCTCAAGAATCTTCAGTGGACCGCTGTCTCTGGGAATCCTAGAGGCGAGTCGTGTAATAATGTCCTCCATCTGTCGGTATGAAAGCTTGTTCAGCAGAGAGTCTCCATATAGGCCCGCTACGAGTTCGCGACCTTCGTCGGTGCCAAAAATCAATCCCAGGCCATCTGTCTCTCCCTTCAGCACTTCTGCGAGTCGAGCGCCCGTGAAAGCGGCGAGACGGTTGGCCCATTCGTGGTCGGGATATAGCCGGAGGAGGTCCTGGAGGATCTGATCACTTGGCTTAGGAAGAGCCATGTGCGTGCGGGTGATGCGACCGTCTTCGGCCAGATTTATGAGCCGTGCGTCAGCGCTTAGTAGTCGGTATAGATACTGTGCCAATTGCGCATGCTTCGGAATGTGGAGGATTCGCTCGAGCTTCTGGCCAGCGACGGCGGTGCGTATGGGACACCCCAGTTTCTCAAAGGCCTCCACGGTCAGGGCAACACACAACTGGGTTTGCTTGGGCAAGATGGTATCGACGTAGTCAGCACACCGATACTGTTCGATGAAGTGATCGGTGAGCTGCTTCGACTCCTCGAAGGCTTCGAGGACCCACGAAGGGGAAAGCTCTAGAGTCTTGGATGAAGCGGGCGGCATGGCAGGCTTTTCTGTTTTTGTCTGACCAGGGTAGGAAGAGATATTAGTTGTAGTCTCTGTTGGGTCGAGCGAGCTGTCTTCCGTAAGATTGGTGGAAGAGCTGCTGCTCGACGGACTTGGGGCGACGTTGTCTTCTTCGGAGACTTCGTCCGCATTAGTATTGTCGGGCTCGTCGCCGTTGGTTGGCACCCCGACTGCAGATTGCACGTACTCAACCAGACCCTGAAAGGTGGTCACATTCGCCAGCTCATCACCGAGTAAGGGGCATTTAAAGAGCGCCTCAAGATCTCGTGCCAGCTCCATACCCATCAACGAATCGATCCCGATGTCAGCCAGACCAGTCTCAGCTTCGATCTCACCAGGCTCTAGCCCCGATATTTCGGCCAGGAGGGCTCGCGTCTTCTCGAGCACGTTCTGTTGGGCCGACTTCTCCGACTTCTTCTTTGCGACAGCATTTGTGCCTGCAGGTTGTGTCTCATTCTGGCTCTTAGCCTCTGGCACGGATGGCCCGGGCAGTCGGGGGGACGAAGATGATGTTGGGTGGGCACGTGTGCTTGACGAAGGGGCTGCCTCCGTTCCAGAAAGACGCGAGAGAATCTTACTCATCGAGGCCTTTGCAACTTTGTGGTAGTTGATGCCCAAAATGACTTCCGTCAGAGCACCTTGTTCAGCGTCGAATATGAAGATGTCCGACAAATAGGTCTGTTCCGACGACCGGTGATGGCAAGCCAGAACATCCCATATCTCAGGTCTTGGCTGGCCATGGCGCAGCGCAGGGGAACGTACCCACTTCTCAAACCCGGTCGCAATGAACATGTCATCTGGATTGTGGTCCGTCATGCAGTTAACCCAGATGCCGCCAACCTGACTGAAGCAATCTCCGAGGTGTGCGTCTAGCCATGACTCTTCCGATGGTTTCTTCTGTACGCGCCCGGCAGACTCAAGACCTTTGCCAACAATCTTCTTCAGTCCGCGATACTGCTCTCCGTAATCAACAACACCAGCGAAGGTCGTGTATATGTTACGACCTTGAATGATATCGTCTGCCTCGGTAGTGTTGAGCAGGTCCACACACCGTTGGTGCCCGATCAATCGCTCCAACCGCATGAACTCACTTTCTTGTTGTTTCACTTCATCTTGCCCTGAAAGAAAAGCCAACTTTCCGACCACGTGAGCTGAGGAGGATGTTCCGGGCTCTTGCAAGCTGTCACTAACAATCCTCCACTCCCATACTGAGTTGGAGTCCATCGCTTGGCATTCCAACCACACGGAGCGATTCGGATCGATACAGATGGGCGATTGATTCGTGACCGCCAGCACCTGTGGCTGTAGATTAGAGTCCATGAAATCCGGACGCAGACTACGCAATGCTTCCACCACAATATCAACTTCCACAGTTGCAGGACAGATAGGCGCCGTGTTGGCGATGACATGACCGGAGACCAGCTCCACATACTTCGGAGCCGCCGTATTGATCTGGAAACGGGCCACTTTATCGCTTGCCTCGATTAAGCTCCATAGCGTTTTAGGAGGCTCTTCTTCATCCCGTGGGCCACATTGGACCTTCCCAGTGCTCATGAAGCTTGGGACCTTGAGCTCCATCCAATGTCTGGATGGCTCGAACTGGTACGGAGGGAGCAAAACAGGATTGTACTCGTATGTCTGCTCCGCATGGTAGGCCCAGAAGTTAGTGGATATGCCTTGTTTCCAAAGACTCAGTGTACTCGTAATCAGCATGGACCACGAATCGTCCGAGGTGATGTTCACGGCTTGGAAGTGAAGGGACTTGGGAGATCCTAGGGCTCGGCTAGCCATCGAAGTGATGGTGGAGTTGGACCCTGCCTCCAGCCACACGCTATCCGGGTACTGCTGAGCCAGCCGCTGAACTGCCTGGTTGAAATATACCGGGTTGCGCATATGGTCGGAAACATAGTCGCTTGTAAGCGTAGCATCCGAGCGGTGCTCAATAGCTCGTTCAAGTTGTATGGTTGGTGTGTTGAACGTCAAATGCTGTCCGACCTTCTCGAGCTCCTCCATCAGAGGTTCGACGAGGGTGGAATGGAATGCGTTGGTCACCTTTAATCGCTTCGAGCGGATTGAGGGTCCAGAGTCAGATAATTTACTGATCACTTCCGTGACGATGTCAATGCTTTTAACCGGTCCCGCTAATGTGTAACTGGTCGGTCCGTTAACGCATGCAATGGTAGGTGCTCTTACGTGAATCAGCTCGCACTGTTTGGCTGCTTCAGCAAGCAGCCGCTGGACTCTATTTTCGTCTGCCTCAACTGCAATCATGGATCCCTTGTCTTCTCCCCAGAAATCACGAATAACGGTGGCACGGCCAACAATCATCTTCATCGCGTCGGCAAGGCTCAGTATACCCGTGACGCAAAGTGCGGTTAGCTCACCGAAGCTATGGCCCACCGCAGCAACAGGGCGGACCCCTGAATCCATCCACGCTTTCGCCGAGGAGTATTGGGTGGAGAAGAGAATCGTTTGAAGCTTCACCGGGTCGGAAATTGGTGATTTTTGGAAGATGCCGGGAAAGATACTGTCAACCCCGAGATCGCGACATGCAGCGTCACAGCTGGCGAGGTGCTTCCGGAGTAGAGCAACATTATCGTAGACTTCTCGATCCAGGCCGACATAATTAGAGATCTGGCCTCCGAAACACAAGATGACCTCGCGAGGTGTCTTCGACCGACTGGTTGAAATGAGTCCTTGGTTCCCGGCGACGAAAGCCCTCAGCTTTTCCTCCACCTCCTGTGTTGTACGACAGGCAAACGCCAATGATCGATCCAGAGTAGGGTTGGACTGCCGACAAACGTTGAAAGCGAGATCTGCCATGGACATTCCGTCCTTTATGCCGCTAGCTATGAAGCGCAGTAATCGCTCACTGTAGGCTCGCAAGGCCCGATCATCGGATCCACAGAGACGGAATGGGTAGTCGAGGACAAGGGAGGTCCGTCTTGTAGCACTCCGCTTCTGCTCCGTTCTTGGCGCCTGGGCTACGACCATTGACGCATTAGATCCACAGGCCCCGTAGTTGTTGATGAGAGCAGCACGGTATTCTGCAGTCCAGGGTGAAAACCTGGTGGCAATCTGCATATTGTCCGACTCGGACACAGGGATTTCCGGATTGAATCTGTCAAAGCTGGGCTGAGGTGGGATTGCCTCATGCTGCTGCATCAGGAGTGTTTTCACCAGCGAGACAGCTCCGGATGTACACTCCGTATGACCGACCAGGCCCTTTACGGATCCGAAAAGAAGTGGTGTTGACCGTGACGGACCGCCCAACACATTCCGAATGCTTTCATACTCGGCTGGATCGCCGACCTGGGTTCCCGTGCCATGGGCCTCCACTACCGTGATCTGGTTAGCTGTCAGCTGGGATCGGTCCAACACGTCACGGAAGAGATCCGATAGTGTAGGCGCATTGGGTACGAAGACTGGGGTGCAGTTCTGATTCTGGTTGACTGCAGTGGCTTTAATACTGCCGATGATCATGTCTCCATCGGCGATGGCGGCCGACATCTTCTTGAGAAATACGGCGGCGAAGCCCTCGCCTCTGCAATAACCATCCGCGCTGGCATCGAACGGTTTACATTGACCTGTCGGGCTGAGGAAGGAGGCAGCAGCCAGGTTCTGGTACCACAACGGGTGGGTGATGATGTTGGCACCGCCAGCTAATGCTGCGGTGCAGTCGCCGGTCAAGATAGCTTGACACGCCTGATGAACAGCCACCAAGGAAGATGAGCATGCCGTGTCGATGCAGAGTCCTGGTCCAGTCCAGCCAAACCAGTGGCTGATCTTGCCTGCCACAAAACTCTTCAGGTTGCCCGTGGCCATGAAAGCATTCGGAGGATGGCATGCCACATTGTACTCATAATCCGCTGCACACACCCCAATGTAACACCCGATCTTTCGGTCCTTGTCTGACTTGGGCGTCGTAAAGTACCCCGACTGCTCCACTGCCTGATAAGCAACTTGCAGCATCTGCCTCTGCTGCGGATCGGTTGCGGCAATCTCGCGGGCGCTCTTCTTAAAGAATTTGTGGTCGAAGCAGTCATGTTCGTTGATGAAGTTACCATACCACTTCCGCGTGGGGTCGACCTCGCGAAAGGCGCTTTCGAATCCAAATCGCTCCTTGGGCACCTCTTGATGCTGAGACTCGGCCTTGCATAGAAGGTCCCAGAACTCACCCACATCGTCGGCACCAGCCACTTTGCAGGACATGCCAATCACAGCAATCTCATTCGGATTGCAAAGCTCTGGATCTCTGTGCAAGTATGATGGTTGATATTCAGCCGCTGTGGTAACTATCGAGCTAAGGCCTTTCAGTATAGACGGTGGAATGCATCGCTCGGGTCCAAAAGAAACCACCATCGAGGAAGGCGATTTTAAGCATGATTGTCGGACTACATCTAGAGTCTGATACCAATGGGATGTATCCAGGAGAATGGATCGAAGTGCGCAATGATGGAGCTTCCCGCTGAGAATGAAAGACCCGGCATCATTGGAACGTGTCGGCAGAGCCAGCACAGCGGCATCTGGCAGACACAGGCTGGGTACAGAATCGCAGAATTTGCTCAAGGCCTCAATATCTTTCTCATAGCATGCACAGTGGAAGCGACCGCGCAATCCAATCTCGCTAGCAATGAGGCCGGCATTGCGTAACCGCTGTTGCAAGGAAGAGATGCTTCTGGCTGCTGTTGTTATTGTCGCTCGGTTATAGTCGTATTCTACCGATATATACGCCTTTATGTGTAGATTAAAATTAGATTGTCTTTGTTCATTATGTCTTGCTGTGTCCACTCACCTCTGGAGACTGGTCAATAATCTGGTTCAGTCGGTCCTGAGTTTCAGCCGAATCCCAAGCCACGGCTAATGATTTCGAAGGGCCATTTGGGCTTGTGATATCCTGCACATCAACCACCGCTCCAATAATCATCGCCAGCTTGATCGCAATGGCGCCGTACTGGCGGATACCCTTGATGTCAGAGGCAAGTGATGCGGCAAGAGCAGTCAAAAGGCCGGTACAAAATCCAACGGTTTCTGTTTGCTGATCTGCTGCATGCGGCATCGTCTTCAAGTAGTCCACATATTCCGTCAACTGAGTTATGACCACCATAGGGCTGAGAAGGATGTTAGGAAGATGGGGTTCGGCATGCTCCATCGTCCCCGTCTCGAACCACCTATCGAGATTCCGCAGCAACTGCTTGCCTTCCAGCGCTCCATACTGTGGAAATTCCTTCACAAGGGCATCCCACAGCCCTGGTAGACTGGTGATGGTCTGCTTAATCCAAGCATTCTCCGAGGTTTGCACTACTCGTGCATGTATGTCGGCAAACGTCGCGGCGGAGAAGGAAAGGGCTTGCGGGCCGAATAGAAGAAGGGTATTTGTCGGGTTAGTAGCCCTTGTCGTTGTGACCATGGCGGATAAGGCTGAAGGGCAAGCCGAGATCTAAGGAATAATTGCAAGGTCGAAGAACTGGTAATCAAGCAATCAATCAATCCCTACCGGCGCTTTTCCGATGCTGTGATGGCCAGATAAATGCATGACTTGTGATGCAATATCAAAACAAGTATAGTTCCAGAACAATTCACTGCCACGTAAAGAATGCTGCAGCAGAAACACATGGTAGCCCCTCGGACTTTTTGTTATTCTCTGCAGGCATTATCTCGCTGATGTGAGCCATCCTGCTGAGCCGGAGTTTCGCCCGGGCAGGACTCTTCACGTTTCCTTAAGATAGCTCTTACGAGAAAGCCTTGATAGTACTCATCAGCTTGCACAAATCGTATGCTTCCTCTTCCAGGGGTGGAAATTCTGTGATCCACCGAAGTCCGAGTATGTGGCTAGGGGATTTTCTGACCCCGCATCGCTCGGACTTATATCAATGGAGTTTCTCCCGCAGCTGCCTTTGCTGATTATCTTTGCAATTTCGTGGCCAATGAAAGGATTTTGCGAGTCTTTTCTATCTCTAATCCATCATTCCGTCGTTGTATGGAATTTCTACTGTCAGTCATCAAAGCTGCAAAACACCATATCAACGCCCCTTCAGTTCTACGGCTGCCAGACAGGCAGATAGCCACGGCTCTTAAAATTCAGTCTCCTGTTTCTTGACACGTATGTTTGAGAAGATCTTCATAGCTGTAGGTTACTGCGACATGGAAAGCCTTGCCCACCTACCGGGCATTTTCTTGCCTCTGGCTGGCTGTGTCTTAGCTCTCAGTCTCACAGTAGGTAACCCTCATCTCAAACACCACAATGGGCAGAGCTGACTCAGCCCCTATAGACAATCGTGTACCGCACAGTAACGAATCCTCTATCACATATCCCTGGTCCTCAAATTTCGAAGTGGAGTTCGTTGATCGAGCAGTACTACTGGTTTGCGGGGACAAAGGTTGAGTATGTCGACTATCTACACCGTAAATACGGTGAGCGATACCCGTCTATCATCATTACTAAGCTTATAGCTAATGTTATGAGGCGCTCCTGGCGGTAGGCCCTATTGTCCGCGTGACTCCTACAGAAGTCGACATCTGTGATCTGCCAGCAGTCCGTGAGATCCATCGCGTGCGCGGCGGATATCTCAAGTCCGAGTGGTACAAGTCTTTGACACCACCCGGGGTGACTAGCTTGCTCACCCTCATCGAGCCCGCTCAGTACTCTGAATGGCGGCGATTACTAGCCGGGCCATTGTCTGATACCAGCTTGGGCAAAGTTGAGCCCATGGTCACCAACCATGTGCATGCTACCATTGATCGGATTGCCTCCGATTTGCAGTCACAGGGGGTATCAGACCTCTACAAATGGTGGACGTATATGGCGACCGACGTCGTAAGCGAATTGAGCTTTGGCGAACCCATTGGCCTGCTGGCGCGTCCCAAGGTGAGTGGCGGACTTTGATATTAGAGACTTGACTATGCATGTTGACACGCCTTGACAGGAAACCGCCTGGGTCATGGACTACCTGGACAAAGTGGGTATCATGCACGCCTGGCGGACGACCTTCCCCTTTGTCTTCGTACTGGGACGATTCATGCCCGTTCATCCTTTCAAGCATGCCATTCAGGCAATAGGGCTTCTTGGTAAATGGGCGAGGCAGTCTATTCAGCAATATAGACAGCATATCCAGGAACAGCCAGAGAGTCCGAAGCCTACCTTATTTACTAAACTCTTTAAGGCAGACAAGTTTGACGACTTCCAGCTGACATACCTGGCTGGCTCATATATTACCGCGGGGAGCCATACAACTGCCGTCACTTTATTATATCTCATCTATGCGATCTGTAGCGATAATGAGATCCGGCAGAAGCTGCTGGCAGAAATCCGTACTTTGCCTGAGAATTTCCGCCACGATGAGCTTAGACATCTGCCGTACCTCAATCAGGTCATCACAGAAACTCTACGTAAATACGCCGTTGTCTCGTCTGCTTTGCCTCGCGTGGTGCCTGCCAGCGGGGCTACGCTCGCTGGATATTACCTGCCTGGTGGAACTACGGTTTCGACTCAAGCGTATACATTACATCGAAATGAGGCCATCTTTCCAAACCCGGAGAAGTACAAACCCAACCCCAAGTATTCATATGTTTCGGAGCTGTCTGTGTTGCTAATTGAATGTAGATTCGACCCCAGTCGCTGGGAATCTCCGACCCAGGAGATGAAAGACGCTTACATGCCCTTTGGTGGCGACTCGAGGAGTAAGATTGACTTCCACAGCCTGATCGCAATATCATAGGGTAAATATCACTAACTGCTGCCGTTATTAGTGTGCATCGGCAATAGCCTTGCGCTCATGGAAATCCGACTTACGACAACTCTATTCCTACGCCGGTTTCCAGAGGTTCACATGTCGCGCCAGAACGGCATGCGGGATGAGGATCTGGCTCAGGAACAGTATTTGATCATGGCTCCAAGGGGACACCGCTTGCTAGTCGAAGCCTGAGCCGACATTCTCAAGAGGTTAGCCAGGAAATAAGAACTATATGGTTCAAGGGGTCGGAGTCACCCGCAGATACATGGACACGTTCCCCATGAGTTCAGCGATAGGCGGTGCAATAAAATATGCATACACGAAAGAATATTCCTAGCACTACAGACCTCATATTGTAATAAGTAGTCAAAAGGTATTCTAATTTCTCGCCACCCCAGCTGCCCGCACCTCAAACACCTCAGCTGTCTCTCTCATCATCGCATCAATATCATAGTCCCAAATGCGATGAGAGCGCCAATACACCTCATCGTGGCACCTGGAAGCATCCGACCCTACCTCCTTATCCTGCCACTCATACAGATTACCGATAACGCGACTACTTTCCACCAGCCACTGCGCACGCTCGCGACGAACCGCATCATAGGTCTCGAATGCGGTCGTGATAAGAGCGGCTTTCCCCTCAGTACCATCTTTTGCGGTGTCAACCCTTTTCGCAGCCATATCAAGCACAGCGCACAGCACAGCCGCGTCTTCCACACCACAACCTGCACCTGCACCGTGATGCGGAGCCGCAGCATGAGCAGCATCCCCTGCTATACAGACAGCTCCCCGGGAATACGTATTTGGGGGATGGTCGTATGTATCAAAAACGGCCCATTGATCAATAGGATCAGGCAAGAGATCAATTATGGTGCGCATGGTCGGACCAAAGCGGGAAAAGGCAGCCGTCACGTCTTCCTTGGGCCCCTGTGCTGTCCAGCGATCAGCATATGGCCAGGGGTTAGGGTCCGTGACGAAGGCGACGACGTTCAACAATGACCCATGGCTAACAGGGAAGGTCAGGGCATGGGCATCCGGACCGAGATGCATGAAGCGTGTCGCCACTTTATCTTCGCCCAGCGCCTCCCGGGCGCGGTCCATGGGAATAAGGCCACGTGCTGCATATTTATGACTGTAATGTGCTGATGCTGCCGGATGGTCTTCACCTAGGAGGATCTGGCGAACGCGCGACCGAATGCCATCGCAGCCGATCACCGCGTGGGCAGTAGCTGTCGTGCCATCTTGGAATCGAAGAAGCTGGCCGAGGCTATTATCTGCTGCAGGCTCCACGGTATCCAGCGCCTTCTGGAATGTCACCACACCTTCCGGTAGTAGACGTGCCAGCTCACCTAGGAAGTCGGCACGGTGGCAGCCCTCAAATCCACGCTCGCCGAGGTAGATCTTGAAGAGTAGCTGTTCCTCGGTCTCGCGCGGGTCGGTACCGGACTCGTTGAATCCGTCCACCCACTGGAACCAGTCGGAGGCATTGGGGGTAGCGACGCGTTTGAAGGCAGCTTGAATGCGCGGGTCAACGACTTTCATCGCCCATTCGGCGTTGGGGGTGAAGCCGATGCCGGCTCCAATTTCGTGAAAGTCGCGGGCTCGCTCGTAGACGCGGACGGGAATGCCGCGAGACAGGAGGCCCAGGGCCAGGGTGATTCCCGTGATCCCGGCGCCTATAATGGCAACTTCGATCGAGTCTGTACTCATGATGGTAGATTGTGAGTTGGTGAGGTGTGAGTCGATTGGAAGGGGCCTATCTATCTCTTCATTGTTTTGAGATGGGGTGCAGGATGGCCGTTACTCAGACATAAGATTTTAGTGCTTACTGCCAAGATGACGGGAGCATTTATTTGATGCAATCACTTGATCTAGATATTGGAGTTTGATTTATTGCCTATTTGTAGACGTTGAGACTGGATATAGAGGCTACCGCCTGGTTAGAGGTTTTGCTCTGATGACTTGGTGTATGCGGCAAGGACAGGGGCGAAGACACTTCAAATATCTGTTTTTATTTGTTGTATCAGCAGCTACTAGTCATCATAGTATGAGAAAGCTGTGATAGTCAGGATTCGGGGTTGAATTAGTGCCCTTCCAACTACCGGAGTTTCCCCTCGGGGTTTTTGTCATCGTGCTTATCGCACTGATGATCAGATACGCAGGGGACCCGTAGTTTTCTTTGATAGAATTGGACAGTATTATAACTAAGAACTCTTGGCTCTAACTTGCGCTAGGTCATATCAATCCAGAATCTTTTACGCCATGCAGCTGTCAGGCCTCCTGTCTTGGCTTCCATCATGGCTCTGGGCCTCCCAGACTACACTTGACCTCCAGGGATTGTATGGCCCCAGCCTATCACCTAAGGCAAAAATTGTCTTAGCATCTGATGCCAACTACACGCATGTCACCACACAACGTTGGACTGTGCATGGGGCACCCCACTATCTCGGTGCCATTATACCCGCAACCGAGCATGACATCCAACATATTGTCGGTATGCCTCGCCAAGCCTGTGCGACATGAACTGATAATGCAGTGGAGTTTAGATCAAAATCTCACGAGAGCATGCCATCAATTTCCTGGTAGTCGGTGCTGGCCACGGAGCCACAGTTACCTTTGAGCGGTTCCGCCACGGTATTGCCATCGACATGCAACAGTTCAAGGATGTTCATCTCGATGTGGACGCTGAGCGACTGACTGTGGGCGGAGCGACGGTGTTCTCGGACATCATCGATCCTCTGTACTTAGCACAACGGGAAATAGTGACACCGTCAGCTCCTTGCGTAGGAGTTGTGGGCATGACCCTGGGAGGCGGTATCGGGAGTCTGCAGGGGCTGCATGGGTTACTGCTAGATTCGCTCGAGTCCGTTCGCCTAGTCACCCCGATTGGAGACCTTATCGAGGTCTCTGAGATACAGTACCCAGAGCTTTTCTGGGGCCTGCGTGGTGCCGGGTCCAACTTTGGAGTCGTCACCTCGGCTACCTATCGCACACACCAAGCCACCCATGGGGGCCTTGTCACTAATGTAGACTTCATTTTCACGGCGACTGAGCACGCTTCCATTTGGCAGGCACTGAGCGCGTTCGATGAGACGCTTCCGCCTGAGCTGGCATTGACCCTGGCGGTGGCCTATAACCGGACGATCGACCAGGTAAGCATCCATCAGCTGAATTTTCTTGTGGGTACTGATCATTTCAAAAGCCACTTGTGCTGGTCAACGCTATATACTACGGTCCTGAGGAACAGGCGCTGGAGCTACTGAGCCCCTTCACCAGTCTCACCCCAATCATGTCCCGTAGTGTGACTGTGCCCTGGAATGCCCTGCTCGACACCACCTTCTTCGGCCTAGCAGCCCAGGAAGGAGGGGCCTGCGCTAAGAACCAATCGGTCAATATATACAGCATCGGACTGAACCACACCGACGTACCTGCCTGGGAGTCGTACATGGAGCAACTACTGCAGTTCTATCACCAGAATCCCACCTACGATGGCCGCTTCCTTGTGCAACGCTATTCCACGCAAGGAGCCCTGTCCACGCCGGACTCCGATACGGCCTATCCCCACCGACAGATCAAGATGCATATGTAAGGAGCTCCTCAGTTACCAAAATTTGTGTAGACACTAACTCTTAACATGCAGCAATCTTGAGGGCTGGTATACCGACCCCTACCTTGAAGACCCGGTCAACGCCTTCCTGAAACAGTCTCGCCGGCACTTTCAGCAGTCCAGCGGATTCGACAATCTGGCCGTCTATGTTAACTACGCTCATGGCGATGAGGGGCCAGATGTGTGGTATACCGCTGAAAAGCTGGAAAATCTCACTCGGCTGAAGCAAAAATGGGATCCTGAAGAGCGATTCAGCTGGAGTAACCCTGTTCCGTTATCGGAGGAGTTCTTGGAGCTGTAGTTTCGCTGCTTGTATATACAGTCGATCCATCCTTGACCAATAACGAGGCATATTTTTTGTGAGGCTCCTCTGCTCAGGTTGTGCTGCGTAGAGGCGGGGCGATCTTCACTCGGAGTTTACGATCGGACTTTGAACCTGAGAGGGATCGGCATTCACTGCTAGCCGCGCCTCTCGATGCTCAAGCCTCGGACTAATTCACATGACCGTGACTAGGGCTTATAGGCCCAGCCAAGAGCCCTTTGAAGTCTACCCCTCTCGTACTACATGACACAGATCCTTTCTTCGTTATTTTCCCCGCTTCTCATATTTTAATCATGTTTTTCCAAGGCGAGGGCAGCATTGACATCCCAGTCCAGGATATTATTTCCTGGATTTTCGACCAGGCACGATATGAGATCGAAAAGCCGGTGAGTCAATCATCCACAACCAATTGAGAGCTGGACACTTATGCAACAAAACACCTCAGGTCTATATCGATGCCTCCGATACGAGCTGTTCCATCTCGTGGCGACAAGCCCGCACTCTGGTGCGCCAGTTGGCCGCTGGTTTGCGAGCAGCCGGTCTGAAGGACGGCGATTGCGTGTGCCTTCATTCTTTCAATGATGTATGCACCCCAACCCGAGATAATTTGTTTTTCCTACGTATCTCCGCTTACATATCGACCAGATCTATTACAGCATCCTTGTGCTAGGCATCATCGCAGCTGGCGGAATATACATGGGCACCAATCCGGGCTATACATCCCACGAACTCGACTATCACCTCCGAGTAGCGCAGGCCAAATTCGTGATCAGTGATCCAGAGATGCTAGATCGCATGATCCCCGCCGCTGAGGGCAACGGCATTCCGAAAGACCGCATCTGGGCTTTCACAACGCGCGAGTCGCAGGTTATAGCGACGACGGGACTCGCTCATTGGACCGCCCTGCTGAAACATGGCGAGGCTGCCTGGCGCCGTCTCGATGATCCCAATCATGCTAAAACGACCGTAGTAGCGAGACTCTTCAGTTCCGGCACTACGGGTCTCCCTAAACCAGTAGACTTTACCCACTACAATCTTATTGCGCAACATACGCTGGTGTACGATGCACACCCCGTCCCGTTCGAGGTCAGAACTGCATGCCCAGGTAGTATCCCACATCTAGCTGACGTCCTGTAGACAAGTCGGATCCTCTCTCTCCCCTTCTTCCACGCCGCCGCAGCCCCATCTGCACACTTCAGCACCCTCCGTCTTGGCGACCCATCCTATGTGCTTCGCCGCTTCGAACCAGACCTCTTTCTAACCACCGTCGCCAAACACAACATCACCGAATGCACAGCCGTCCCGCCAATTATTCTCACGATCCTCTCCCACTGCACAACCCCGAAATACTCTCACTCACTACAATCCCTCAAAATCGTCCGCTGCGGCGCCGCCCCACTAGACAAAACAACCCAGGCGCGCTTTCAATCTCTCCTCGCCCCCGACGCAACCTTCACCCAAGTCTGGGGCATGACAGAGTCCTCCTGTATAGCGACCATGATACCATACCCTGAATCCGACGACACAGGGAGTGTAGGGCGGTTACTTCCGGGTATGGAAGCGAAGATAATCAACACGGACGGGGACGATATCACTGCCCCGGACACTACGGGTGAAATCTGTCTACGGGGACCTACCATCGTGCGTGGATACTTCAATCTCCCTTCCGCCAATGAGAGCGCCTTCGATAAAGACGGGTTCTATAGAACAGGCGACCTCGGGTACTGCGACGGCAAGACAAGAAAGTGGTATCTGCTTGATCGGAAAAAGGACATTATCAAGGTGCGAGGGTTCCAAGTTGCGCCGGCAGAGGTGGAGGGCGTGCTGCGGAATCATCCGCGCATTCGGGATGTCGCGGTTGTGGGCGTGTACGATGCTGAGGCGAGGACGGAGTATCCGAGGGCGTATGTGGTGAGACAGGATCAGTCACTACGGGAGGAGGAGGTGAAGGAGTTTGTGGCGCTGCGGTTGGCGAAGTATAAAAGGTTGGATGGTGGAGTGCGGTTTGTCGATGCGATTCCGCGGAATGCGAGTGGAAAGATTCTGAAGCGGTTGTTGGAGGACAAAAGAGATGAGAAGTTGTAGATGAATGGGCAGTTGAATTATGAGCATCTACAGTAGTCAGTCTCAATCTAATATCTTGCCTGCTACGTGGCTATGTCTTCCTAGGATCACATCATCATCTCCTTGCATTGAGAACCGGCTTTCACAAACTTGCCTAAGCTATCCTTATCATGCTTCTCTGACATTTGGTGGCCTGTATGCCATCGAAAATTTATCTTGAATAGCTACACTCAAGCCTGTTCTAGCATTGAGGTCACTGCATCTCCCACGCAAGTGTTCAAGTCGCGGAAAGTCATCCCCAGCACCTTACGAGACTTGCTATTATCAAATCCATAAATACCCTCTGGCAAATCGTCGGGCACATCACTAGGAGGCAGCCTGTCGGCCAGCTCCGGGTGCGTGGCACGGATAGCCTCCGCAATTCGCTTGTTCGAGAAATGGCCTGCCACGGTGAAAAAGCGCTGGCCGCTGACCTCGGGCAACTCCAGCGCTTGACGGTGAGCGAAGGCAACATCACGCACATCCACCCAGGTGAAAGGTATGGCGATAGGTGCGCCCCCATCTTTCCACTTTCCGAGCATCGTGTCACGGATAATGTGGTTCGAGGTGTTTAGTGTTTTGAGATCAGTAACATGGCGCGGCTTCGGTCCAAATACTAGCGGGGGGTTGATTGTGACAAGGTCGAAGTTTGGCTTGTCGTTCTCGATGAAGTCAAAGGCGGCGCGCTCGGCGAATATCTTCCGCGTCGCGTGTGTCAATGGGGGTCTGTTGTATTGCAGGGATGGAAGTCGCTCATACCTTACTGGCGCGATATGTAACTTGCGGCACCATGGCCTCTTCCCAGGTCACCGACCCGTAGCTGGTCTCATCGTAAACCTCCGGATGGTTGGGGGGAGTGACAATCGTAGCGGATGAGGAAGTTAAAACTACGCGCTTGACTGTCGGCGCGTAAGCCTTGATGGAGGCGAGCAATCCGGCTGTGCCTTTGATCGCTGGGTCAAGGAAGTCTGTTTTAGGATCTGTGTAGTTGAAATGATACGGCGAGGCGGTATGAACTACCAGGTCCAGATCTGAGATGGATTGGATGGCCTGGTTTTGCACAGTCAGTCAGCACTCTGGACATCTGATAAAGCCTGCATAGGTGTGAGGTTTACCTCGTCATACGCCCCATCTTTGGCGATATCCTCCACCACCACGTACGATGCCGCCTTGTCGCCGGTGTTCGACAACGATTCGAGAAGCTGGCGGCCCTTATCGTGGGTGCGGACGGTCACTACCACCTGATACCTGAAATCCTGTTAGAAGAATCTGCTGTCTCGCGCGAGGATTGCTTACCCGGCGTCCAGTAGCTCAATTAAAATGTGCGAGGCAATGAAGCCTGTGCCGCCTACATTACCCAACAAACATTAGTTCATCAGCTGCGGGTATCTGGTAACAATGGATTGCACTGACCTGTAAGCAGAACCTTTTTTGCAAGGGACCCCATCGTGAGCTTTCGAATTTTTGGTTTTTTTCTTACTCTTACAGTGCAGGATCAACTACCCAGGGTGTTGAAGTAGAGAGCTGTGCTCAAGGTGGGGAAACGTCCATCTTCGGCTCGGACAAAACATCGTGGGCTGATTAGTCCAGAAGGATGAGCTGGCAGAGATCTCCGCATACGCGCGGATACCCAAGGGCATGGCAAGTCCGCACGAGAAACTCCGAGTGTGCCCGATCTGATGCTCACTCATTCTTCATCGAATTGAATGTCCGGCAGTATAAGCAATAACTAGTAGGGGTATAGTATAATATCATACAAATACATGAAAACAAGCATCAATGTCTATATCGAAATGTACTTCCCTCCGGCTCAAGCCCTTCCACAGAGCAGCCGAGCTCATCAGTAAAAGCCATGGCAACGAACGGTTTCCGACCAGAGTATGAAGACCTCGGTCGGTATGAGGATATCCTCGGCCAGCTGCCGATGCTGCAAGTCTACAGTCATATCATGCTTCCTTTTGCCATGCCCGAGGGATTGTCACGAGACACCATAATCGCCGATCTAGAAGCTGCAGTGCGCCAGATCCGAGCTCATGTACCCTGGATGGCCGGCAAAGTCGTCAACGTCGGCAAAGGCCCAGACAATTCAGGGCGATACATTGTTGTTCCCTGTCCGCCTCCGGATCCTCTCATCGTGGTGCGCGATGTTACCCACGCCTTCCCTCCTTACAAGGAGATCCAACGTCTAAAGGCACCCAATTCGATGCTGGACTCGCGTCTGCTAGCTCCGACAAATGCCTTTCCTCAGCGCTTCGAGGACTCGGAGGAGGACCCATTCCGGGTGATTCGCCTCCAGGCCAGCTTTGTCGAAGGAGGAGTCTTTCTCGACTTTGTCACCCAACATAACATGACCGATGCAGGCGGTCTTTTCGGCTTCGCCCGCCTGGTCGCCATGGCTATGCGGGGTGAACAATTCTCCGAATCTCTCCTGGAACAGGTCAATCGCGATCGACGCAACGTCATCCCGCTATTGACCCCGGACGAACCCATGCTAGATCATTCCCACCACATTCGACCCCCGATCACAGACGCACAGCCAGTGGTACGCCCTGATCCCGCCCGATGGCATTTCCTGCGCTTCACCGCAGCAAAGCTGGCCGAGCTGAAGGACCTCGCCAGTCAAACCATGACCCCAGACCCAGAGGTGCCCTACATCACGACTGACGATGCTGTCAGTGCTTTCTGTTGGAAGAAGTACATAACGGTGCGACACCGTCGATGGAACACCCCGGACGCGCGGTCCCGATTCTCCCGGGCCATGGACGGCCGCAAGGTCCTAGGGATCCCTGCCGAATACATGGGAGATCTAGTTCACAATGTCACCACTTGGCTCACATTCCGAGAGCTGGTTGATCTGCCGCTCGGTGAGATTGCGCGTCACATGCGCCGGGAATTGAACAGGGCGAATACCGCTTACCACGTGCGAAGCTTTGCGACATTCATCGCGCAGGAACCTGACAAGTCTACGATTGCATATGGCGGGCGCTTCAACCCAGACACAGATGTGGGATCGTCGTCGGTACTACGCGTAGATCTGTTTCCGGTGTTTGGGAAGCTGGGGCGACCGGACTTCATTCGGCGACCTAATTTCCCTGGCATTCCGTTTCCCAGTCTGCTATACTTCTTTCCACAGAACCCTCAGGGAGATTGTGACTCGCTGACCTGTCTGACTGATGCCGATATGGAGGCTCTCAATCAAGATTCGGAGTGGACTTCCATGGTGGAGTACATTGGGTAAGAGGCAGTAGCCAAAACTCCGAATAAGGGCTTTTTGAAACTCCGCGTGGCAGAGTAGCGGATGACCAATCAAGAGCTATTAACGCGATCTTCATCTCGTAGCAGAAAGAAAAGCAAGATCTCACGGGCGATCAATCTAAGACGTCTGGCACATCGATTGTTCCTCTGTCCCAACCTGGCAGGTGGCACCCATGTGTCTTTGTATGTAGAACCCTGTCCTGCTTTTGTAGCATGAGCCTCCATTGCTCGGGTTCATAACTCCCCTCACCACCAAATCCATCACCTCTTTAACTTTCCACTCTCGATAAATCATAGCCTGGTACACAGTATGCCCGTCAAACTACCAGACGACACAACACTCCGCTTACCACGCATCCTCTGCCTCCATGGAGGCGGCACCAACGCCCGCATTTTCCGCGCCCAATGCCGAGTCCTGAGCACACTACTAGGCCCTCACTTCCGGCTCTGCTTCGCCGAAGCGCCTTTCCCCTCGCAGCCAGGCCCAGATGTCGTCTCGGTCTATCGACACTTCGGTGACTTCAAGAGCTGGATCCCAATACCGCCGAACCCCTCGATCTCACCTACCAACGTTGCAAGAAAAATCCTCAACTCCCTCCGTCATACAATAGAAGAGGATGACCGATCAGGGGCAGACGGGGAGTGGGTTGCAGTGCTTGGTTTCAGTCAGGGCGCAAGGCTGGCTGCTAGCCTGCTCTTTCAGGAACAGAATGGGGGATCTGGGATGGTTGGGGTGTATGGTGGAGTCAACTTCCGCTTCGCTGTCTTGCTTGCGGGGAGAGGCCCGATGATTCCTCTTGATATGGATGCTATGGCGTCGGTGTCTTCGGCGGTTCTATCTCTTCCCACCATACATATACACGGGCTGCAGGATCCCGGGTTGGAACATCATCGGGAACTCCTGGAGAGATATTGTAATCGTGAGACAGCTTCTTTAATAGAGTGGGAGGGAAAGCATCGGGTGCCCATCAAAATGAAGGACGCTCGGGTGGTGGTGGAGGAGATCTTAAAGATTGCGCAGAAGACGGGTTGCTTGGTACCTCCGACGATACAAGGTGGAGGGACTTCTAACTGTGGCGCCCTTCTTCTGGATCATTAGGGGACGATTCTGATTCACCCTTCATATATGATTGTTTTAGGCCACTCCTTGTGGCAGATAGTCTAATGTTCTGCTGATAACCATTGCTCATAGAAAAAATTATTCTTGGCTTATTCTTGGAAAACCTGTTTGTGATAAATCTGAATCGTTCCTGCTTGTGTGAATTTGACTGCACACTATTCTGTATGCGCGATATTTAGACGCAATTGCCCATATTGTTTGTTAAGCCAATATGGAAGGGAAGGTAAGCTACATACACTTCGCTACCTAATTGTGCTCCAAGGACTTTCTTTCGATTTTGTCTACCCGCGGTGGGTCTTCACGCTGTCTTGCCTGTCATCCTCATTTGTTTAAGATGGATAAGTGATTAACCGTCCCAGGCCTACGAGGCATAAGTGGTGTTCCTCGTTCGTGCTATTTGACCTATTGACGAAAGGGAAACAAAAACTGAAACAAACGCAGGGGCTTTTTTTCGTGCTCACAACATCTAAAGTCTGTTGTTTGTTAGGTTGGTGGGCCACGAAAAATAAATTGCCGGTCCCGGCGGACAGGAAAAAAGATGGTCCCAGAGGGGCTCGAACCCTCGACTTTAACGTTATTAGCGTTACGCTCTAACCAACTGAGCTATGGGACCCAGTTGATATATGGACTGTCTTTCTATAGCTTAATGAAGGGACACATTCTTCACCCAATATCGAGATTTGCCTACCCTGATGTCCTCCCCACCATGGCGACCCCAACATCGACAATGCCAAGATCACGATGTGTCTTATGTCAAATGGATCTCATAAGAACTCTATATATTTCCATTGTGTAATTCTGACACTCACTTACGTGGAATTGGATTGCCACCATGAGTCACTACTACTCACTTATCGAATGTTGTTCGGATATATATTTTGATACTCTCCTACTGAGAGTAACATCTACGACGTACTTGGTAGTACTACAATGAGTATCACTATCCAATCGTAGTTACAAGTTGAAGTCTCCTGGTCGAAAGGATAAGTGTTATACATGAGCCACATGATATACCCATATGAGTCAAAGATGGCAATGCTCTACAACACAGTCGCCGCCCATTCAGAATGATACCACGCGACTCAGTATTGCATTATCAACAGCCGATATTTCGGACCAACGCTGATACTGGGAGCCGACTAGAATGTCTAGGCACTATGCACACGCAAAACCACCAAATACCACCAAGTTCCTAAGCTGCTGACAAGGCACCATTCATTGTTTTTACAACACCCGAAAACCGATGATCCCCCCTGACCATGGCCCCCCGCCCAAGCCATGTCTATACACCAGTAAAGCCGCCATGTGTAACGCCCCTCGCCATCAGCGTCCCAAATGATTCATCGGTCAGCTAGGAAGTAAGAAAAACATGGTAAATAAATCATGTCACGGACACCATCTCGGGGAAAAATGGTCTTCCATCTCCACCACGATGGTTCCTGGCACATGGCAGGACATGCGACTCCATAGGTGGATCTGCGCATCCTGCCGCAGCGTGTCGGGAGGCTTGGTCCCACGTGGGCATTAACAGCGAATGATATATATCGTATGCTGCGTATATATGGGACGAGTGCGGGTGCCCAAATGGTGCTGTATGTATCCTTGGAGGTTTGGCGTATGTATGTTTGGTATGGTTGTAATACAGGTATGTAATGTATTACACAAAGCGTGTATGCATGTAATGTATCTCGATACAATAATGTCCGTTGTATTACCCACCTAAGAAAGCAAAACGCCGAAGGATCCGGCCTGCAGGTGCAGGGAGCTGAAGCTGCACCTGAACCATCGAATCAGCAAGAGCTAGCGAGGCTTTCCTCTGCAGGGAATGGGTCAATCAACACCCAAGCACTGAGTGTAACAATAGGAGGCACCGTGCTGACAGTGGTTCCGACAGTCATTGATTGAGCAACAGATTTCCTACCCTAGTTTCCGACACTGCACTCCCTTTCATTAGTCGTTCATCATACGACCAAAGCCATCCATCCTTTCCAGCACACATTGACACCGTAGCCATTCTCAACGCAAAATGGACACAGCAGCCCTCCTCAACTCAATAACCTGGCAAAACACCCTGCTCTTCGCAGGAGGGGCCTATATCATCCTGAACCTGAAGGGTCTCCCTTTCGTCTGGCACGTTAGTTCCCCTTTCCCCTAACCTCACTTCGGACATCTCCTAATCCAATTACTCACACAACCCACCTCGACATACTAAACAAAGAATCAAACACACAGGTCCGCCTCCTCAACTGCCTCAAAGAACACATCATCCTCAACCGTGCCCGTAAAGTGGTCATAACTACCCATGGCCCCCAATCCCTCTTCTACCCAGTCATTACGACATCCTCCACCCCGCTACTCGAAATTGACTACAATATGCACAAGTCCAACGCAACCTACTTCACCGACCTAGACATCAACCGCGTGCACTTGATCTCCAGTTTATTCAAAGACCAGCTCGCGCTGGGGTTCTCCGGCGGAGAGCTGAACATCGCACTCGGATCCACAGCATGTGTCTTTAAGAGAGAGATAAAACCATACCAAGCGTATGAGATTCATACGAGAGTGTTAAGTTGGGATGAAAAATGGGTGTATTTCGTTAGTCATTTTGTCAAGACCGGCGGGAAGAAAGACAAAGGGGAGGTAGTGTTTGGGGGCAGCGCGACGGGTGTAAAAGATGAGAAGTGTATCTTGGCTTCTGCTGTCACGAGGTATGTTTTCAAGAAGGGGAGAATATCAGTGAGTCCGGAGACAGTGCTCTCGCGGGCTGGATTGTTGCCGGAGAAAGGGGTCAAGATGAAGGAGGGGTTCTGGTCGTGGGAGCAGGTCGAGGAGGAGAGGAAGAGGGGTTTGGAAGTTGCAAAGTCATTTCTTGCGTTGGATGGATTGCATGCGATGTTTAGGGGGGACGGGAAGGCGATTGGGGTATTTTGAGGCGAGGTTGATGTGACTGATAGACGTGGGTAGCTTGGTCTTTGTCAAAAGTAGCATGGGCTTTGCAGAACATGAGTGGGATATTCTTAGATCTCGAGGGATATAGAGATAGCCAACTTAGGGAGAAACGAGCATATGCTTCGTGAACATAATTCAAATTTGTGAAAAAGCTGAGTGTTAATGGACTGTTCAATGTACCCCGTGATCTTCATTGGTGTAGCCAGATAGTTGCAGGAATTGAGAGAAATACCTTATAGCATGGCACCGTTTAGACTTAGTTTCATTCTGATAAATCTCCTAACAGACCACAGATTGTAGAAAACAGGACATAATCTCATATATAATTATAAACTTGCTTATCATGAAAGACATTCTGGTATCAACAACGCCAAAAGCCTATGTAAGTCTGATGCAGCTATGCAACGACAACCTCCGAAGACCGAGTGACCTTTTCCAACCCACGCTCACCATCCATATACTCTCGCCACTGTAAACAACCAATCAGCACATAAAAGCCTAGAGATTCAAGATAGACAACGTACCTCTGCCAAGACCTTCGCAATGATCGGTGACTTTGTCAACCGGAACACCTGCCGGAAGTATTCTTCGCTGACTTCAAATGGCCGCGCCGTCAGGTTCGGGATGTACTTGCCCACCAGGCGGTCCGCATCCAGCGTATCCTTGTCAATGTACTTGTAGAGACATGCACGGAAGGCTGTAATGCCTGGGCTAAGGAAGGATGAGTGGAAGGGCACGTCGATTCCTCGGAGTGGCACGGTAGCCACTCCCCGCTCAAGCTGGATAGGTTGGGGCTTTGCTTTGGCGGCGTTGGCGCATTGGTGGAGTGTATCGAGTACGCTGGCACGAATCTCCTCTTCGGGTTGAGTATTCTGGAGAATAGACTGGAAGTCAGATTGACGGCGCTTGAGTTCGCCGATCAATGAGGAGAGGGTGTCGAGGGCTCGAAGCTAGGATGTATTAGTAGGAGTTTCTTTAGGAGTGAAATTGATTGACTAACATCACCCGCGCAGACGTATTGAGAGTTGGCGACATTGTAGTTTACAATTTCAAGCAACCAGCTTGTCTCTCTAGCAATGAGCGATACCAAGTACTGCAGGCGTTCTTCGTTGAAAGCTAGGCGTAGTCAGTAACCAGTCGCGAAAGGCAGTAAAGGGACATACACTTCGACAGCCGACTCGGGTCGACGGCGCACATGGAGAAGTTCGACCTTCCTTGCTCGTCGCGCTCAACGGCCATCTGCATCGTCAAACCGCGGTAGAAAACCACTGATACCAAACTCTCAATAGGCATAATTTCTGCAATTGCTGCCAATGCAGAGTACTCTCCCAGAGAATGGCCAGCGAAGCTACAGTGGTCTGCCAACAGCCCCTTGTCTTTCATGTCTTCAATGATAGCTTTCTCCATGAGGGTCAGTGCTGGCTGGGTAAACTGAGTAGAAGAGAGAAGTCCGGTGCTTGATCGGAATGTGTGTGACTTGGTATCATGTGTGATGTCTTTGAAGATCTTTTCTGAGGTTGTGCGCCCATCCGCATGGATCATCTCACAGCGAAGAGCCATGTAGTTTTCCCGGATAGCGCGTCCGCGAGCACCACCGAAGTGGATCTTGAGTTCTCTGGGATCATTGCGGACAATGTCGGTAATGCGGAAGCCTGGTAACGTTAGAGATGCACTCATGTGAAAGAGATGATACTCACCGAAATTCTCAAGGAAGTGCTTGTCAGCCAGATCCCACACCTTCCGCGCTGCAGGGCTGGAGGCGTAAAGTTCCATGCCCATTCCCTTTTCTTGGCTTCCTTGGCCGGTAAATAAGAAACCAGTACTGGGCTGCTCAATTTCTGCCTCCGCAACGATCAGTTTCTCCCCGCTACCCGCGCGACGGGCCTCTGCATGAACAAGCTTCCGTCCGTTCACCATGCCAACGTGCTGCAGTACCAGTTCCACATCGTCCTCCGGAAGAACCATCCCGACAAAATTACACTGATAGCGCTTAAAGCCACTTGGGTTTCCAGGGACAGTAAGCTGCTCAA